TAACCAGTTTATTCAGCCTACAATACAGTATAAGATTATCACACAATCATATTCTTGAAGGCTAGGCGTACTTCCTGAACTGGCTGGGGGATGTATCGTGTATAAGTTGTGGACTTCCAGCGACCCATGATCTTAATGATGTGTGCGGGATATTCTTTTTTGAAGCGGTAGTAGCGGCTCCTATGCGAAAGGAATGACCAGAATATTTGGCCAGGTTTAGCCCCAAGCGTACTAACAATGTTCTTACGTAGAGCATGAACTTACTGATAGTCAGAGTTTTACCGTACAATGCCAGTAGTGGTTGATGTGGTGTCATTGGGATGGATGAAAGGTACTGGTCGAAGACTACCATGGGACACCATTTATTATCAGTAGGGTAGTAGGGAATAGTGACCGTCTGTCCCTTCATACTAGTTTTCGTATGGTGTAGGAACAGTGAATAGTGGTCGTGTGTTTTAACTAGGTTGGCTCTTGTGAGGAAGTTTGGGGTGTTATAATTAGTAGTGGTAAATTCTTTGGGCCGAAGGAACCCATAAAATGCCAAGTATATGGCTGTTTTGATGACCTGATTTGTGCGAGTCTCAAACGGTGAAGTGTCTAAAAGATTTGACAGTGACTAAAATAGAATGTAATGTATAGGTAATCTGGAAGGTGTAGGTGCCGGGGTGGAATCCTTCATAACCTTCAATACAGATTTTACTTGGTAAGAGGAGAGGAACCGTTGTTTATCAGGCCATGTGGTGAGGATGTGATGTTGAATACCCGTGATGTATAATTTAATAGTGTTGTAGGATAGTTTTAAGTGAAGATGGCAAAAAGAAATAAACACAATCATAGTGCTCATGGCAAATTTGTCAGCAATTTTGTGTTCCATCACAAATTTATTAAACATCAGAAAAGCCCTGTCATACACCTTTTTAGTGTTTACAGAAAGCCCTAATTGTGAGAGATGACTTCCATGAGCGAGCAATCTGTTTAGTCCAATATCATCTCCTGCCACTGTGGTACGGGAGTGGATATTAAGGCCGCTGTGGGTAGGGCCGCCCGGAACTCCTGAAAACGAGATCGGGATAAATGGTCAGCGGCAACATTGAGAATCCCAGGAACATGCACGCAATTCAGGAAAAAAATGTATTTTGCTGCTTGCCATGTGAGATTCCTAACAAACCGCATGATGGCCAGGGAAGCGGAACGTCCCTTGTTAACAATATGGCAGGTTGCCATGTTGTCCGAGAAGCACCTCACCGACTTCCCTGACCAGATAGCTCCCCATTTAACCGCTGCTGCAACAATGGGATGAAGTTCAAATAAAGCAGACGTGTCCTTGAACTCTGGTATCCCCGCAATTTCCTTTGGCCAGTTGCCCCACATCCATTCATTGCCAAAAATTGCGGCAAAACCGGAGGTGGCCGCGGCATCTGTCCAAATAGAAACAGAGTCATCCGATAACACTGGTATGAACAAGCTCTTCCCGTTCCAGTGTCGTAAAAACTCCCTCCACATGCGTAAGTCAGCGGTGGCATGCACATCTAACATTATACGTGAGGAGTCGGTCTGAAACCTAGGGGATAGACTGAGTAGTCGGGATATAAAAGCCCATCCTTGAGGAATCATTTTCATGGCAAAATTAAGAGAACCTAACAGGGATTGCAACTCCTTTTTGCTGCAGGACTGTTCGGTTAAGTGAAAGTCAATGGCGGCCAGTATGCGATCAATCTTTTTTCCCTGGGGAGGCTAGCCTGCATGTGTACCGAATCCAGCACAACCCCCAGGAAATTGATGACCGTATCGGGACCTTCCGTCTTAGTCGGTGATATCGGGACTCCTAGTTGTGTAAAAAGCCATGTTGTAGCCTGGAGGCTACTGGGCGGTAAGAGGTTGCTTTCTACGGAAAGAAAGTCATCCAGATAATGAATAATAGTGGGGCATCTACAGGTGTTAAGCAATATCCAACACAATGTCTCAGCAAACATGTCAAAAATACGTGGGCTGCTCTTTGAACCGAAAGTGAGACGCGTGAAAAAATAATATAACCCTTGCCATTTAACACCTTGTAGATGCCACAGGGACGGATGAATAGGGAATAGTTTAAAAGCATTCACTATGTCCGTCTTACTAAGCCAGGCGCCTATTCCTGCTGTGAGGATGGCCGTGATGGCATTATCTATAGTAGCGTATAGCAACGAAAACTCTTCAGATGGAATAAGTGAGTTTAGACTTGGTGTAACTGATGCATGGGGAGCAGAGAGGTCAAGAATCAACCTTTGCTTGTTTGAGGACTTACCAGTGACCAGACCTATGGGGTTTGTTCTCCATACAGCAAAAGGTGGAGAGTCAAAAGGCCCAATTACAAACCCTTGGTCAATCTCTTTCTGTATTAGTCGGTCAATAGCGTCAGGATCTGCCATGGCTGTTTGCAAGTTCTTGCATTCTAAGATCCCAGTAGGCATGTGGATGATACCCGTGTGAAAACCCACCGTGAAACCTGACACCAAAAATTCCACTAAGTGTTGGGAAGGGTGACCACACAATAACTTTCTCAGTAGTGAGACATCAATGGACGATAAGTACTGCTTGGGGTATAATTTATTTGGGCACATTGCTTTAGAGTGAGCCTGGAAATATAAGGAACAAACATGAAGCAACCTACATGCACTGAACCCGCACGTGCCTGTATTAAAATTGTTGCAAACCTGCGACTTCCCCAAAAAAATTATATCACGGCCCGATTTATCTTTAAGGACCTTGGCTGGTCTCCCAGTCGGTGTCATATTGGGAGGGGGGTAGAAAGTATTTACCTCTGGGGTATTGGGACATAAATTTGTTGTGTGTGAATTGGAAGCACAAATGGCACAAGCCGGTGTCTTGAGGCCGCAAAGTGCCGACAAAAATGCTCCATATCCAGCACACTCCAGTCAACTTGATAGCTAAACTGGGACAGAGCCGCCGACACCTTTTTGGCAAAAGCACAGTGGTAGTCATAGAAAGCCGTACCACCGTACTTGTGCCCCAAATCCACCAGCTTGTGTAGGTACAGATCCAATTCCTCCCTCCTATGGGGATGCACTGAGCATACAACATCCCTGTATGTCCCAAAAGCCAGGACAAATTCCGGGATAGACAGCTTACGGTTTAGTCTGGGGTCCCTAGATTTAAGTACCACCGATATGTCACGATAAGCATACGTCTTATTTTCCAGGACATCTTGGGAGGCAATGAGTAGTGATACCAAATTTACCTCCTTCCCCTCCAAGATGTCCTTTCTCAGATTAGCAGGCACCTAATGTGCCGGGTTAATAATATGCAGATTTTTAATACCCGCCGGAATATTACCAGTAGAAGTGCTGGGGACAACCGCTGTGTCACTATCTACCCGAGCCGTTTGCGACTGCTGACGGCTCTCTGTGTCCATTTTATCCAGTTTATCGGTAATGCGACCTAAAGAGATCAAGACCGAGGATAAAATTGCGCTCAGATCAGAAGACTGACCGCTACTAGATCCTTCATCAGCCCCAGTATTATCAGTTTGCGTGTTTAAAAGTCTATATAATTCGGCTTTCCTAGCCGTAGCTGGGAATGGAATATTCCTTTTCCTCAATTCAGCGGTGATCCGAGGAATCGTCCAGGAGCGGAGAGATGAGGGACTTGCATTGTCGACTCCTTGAGATGGAGTGACCGATCTAGCAGGCATGCTAGGGATAGACAGGTCTTCCCCACCTTCTGGTAGTTGTGACATGCTAAAAAATAAATTGTAGAAGTTTTACCTATTGTAAAATTTTCCACTGGCTGTTTTAACTAGTGCCAAGCGGCAAAACAATTAAGACGATAGGTGACAGGTGAGGCCCTACTAGTTGCCAAGCGGCTGTGAGAGGCTCTACCTATGAATTGGCCCGATTGGGGTATGAGGCCATTGACATTATGGCGGGGAGTTGGCCCCTCTGTGACAATAACCAGAAAAAGACAGAATGGGAGTGACCGGTGAGGCCCTCTCTATGCAACCGTGCGAGGCGGCTAACTATGATTTGGCCCGAGGGGATGTCGTACCTCTGCTTGAGGATGGGTGTTGGCCTCGCTGGACCACTAACGTAAGGCGTAGAAGGCCAAGAAGAACGTACCTAGAGGCTCCTATGCTTTAGTGCCAGTGTAAAACTAGCTTATGAAAACAGACGGGGAAGGGATTCGTATGGAATCGAGGCAAAGGGACGTACCTGTTTGAGCCGAGTATTTAGCCGGGTAAGGTAATATAGGTGAACTGTAGGTCCTACAAGATTAATTAGTGAGCTTACAATTAGATAAAATTTTATAAATATTTAGTGGGTATCGATATGAACCTTACACTCCACCCTGTACCCAAGATACCTACCAGGTAGATATATCCTAAATCGGAACCTAGAACCAAACCCCAAAAGGTTGTGTGGATGGCCTAGCCTATAAGTGTAGAAGTAACACGTAAAAATATCGGTTATGCAAAACCTCCAGTGGCTAGTTGAAACATGAAAATGACATGTGAAACTATATAAGTTTAAGAAATTAATGTGTCACATAAAAAAAAAATAAAAAAAAAATCCTCATCTTGATTACTTATGGTATGTAAAACACGGAATGCCTTATGCCAGACCTGCAAGTAATTTACCTGAATGCAGGTGTAGAGGCCAGTCATTATAGTTGCTACAAAATGATATATATGTAACACAACATGTTAATTCCCTTTAAAAAAACAACAACAAAAAAACGTAATAATATAGAATGACCACCAGGGGCCGACATAACACAGCTAAAGTGCACATAGACATTATTAATGCAGTTAAATGAATCGGAGTGTTTGTCTCAAATAAGCATAATTTAAATCGCCAGTTTATAAGTACGTAATATTAGTGCAACGGTTTAACGAAATCCTGAATTGAAAAGGATTTGCCCAGCGTACGTGCAAGAAATCCCGTCAAAATATTCGAAAATGTGATGAAACTGTAAGCCCCGTAATTGGATAGTGGTATCCCAAGATGACGTGGATTGACCGTGACCGCCGCCCGGCGGCAGCCGTGACTTACGGTTTTACTGAAAAACTGAACCAGCCGCCGATTGCTTATGACGATAAGCCGAAATGCGGGGACGCCGGGGAGACAGGAAATATCTTGCCAGATGAAACAGAGCAACAAGATGAAATGGAGCAACAGGACAAGGTAAGTGAAACCTCAGTGTTCAGCTAGTGGCAGAGGAGATTTGCACGGACCGGAAGTTCGGTTATGCAAATCTCAAGACCTGAGCCGGTAGCAGGTGAAGGGCTGGAGCTCCTTAAGAAGGGGAACCAAGCCCCTCCCACAACTTCAGGCCCTGCCTTCCATATATATATGATATATTTTTTTAATGTATTAATGTTTTTATTTTTTCTTACTTTTTCACCAGCAGGGGGACTGCCTGTCAGTTCAAGCAGTACCCTTGCTGGCAGCACCGTGGACACCTCTTTTAGAGCGGTCACGTGGCCCCTAGGGGTCTTAAATTGGAGAGGGAGGACTGTCTGGGCTGAGACGGTCCCCCTCAGAAGCAGACCGATCGCCGGCGGGGAAACGGTGACGATCGGTAAGTACATGGGGGTTGGGGGGAGAGGGAGGATAGAGGTTAAACAATATGTGTCTGTCAATATGTGTGTGTGTGCAATGGTGGAACTAGAGTAGAGAAGGCTCTGGCACAAGGATTTTTCGGTACCTGCCCCTATTGCAAGGATGGCCAAATGGTAGATCCTTATCTGTCATAAAACTCCCACAAGCCCTTGCTAGTTGGTGATCTACCATTTGCCCATCCTTGCAGGGTTGTATTTAGCATTGCATTTGGATGGAGTATGTGTATACAGCGATACTAGTACAATAAAGTGAGCTTGTCACAACACACATATATCTATAAAATATATAAAGCTGAGTACAATACAGAGAAAACCATACATCAAACCTAACTGAGAAAAAATAGAGATGTCATATACAAAACTGGGCACAACATATTGATACCCCAAAAAAAAAATAAAAAAAAAAATGCAGAACTGGGCAGACTACACAGATACCCATGCAACAGGCAGAGCTGGGTAAAATATAGAGATTCAACACACAGAGCTGGGCACAATATGGCGCTACCCATAACTATCCCACACAGCCAGGATCCCTGTGATGGATTACACATAGCTGCAATACAGAGATACCTGCATAGTACATATCTCTGTAACAGGCTTAGTTCTCTCTCTTCCAAATCCTCTCTTAGTAGCCCCATTCCAGATCTCATCTTCAGTAATGTTCCTGTTATGATAACTTTAGCTTTCTAGTAAATATTACTTCTATTATGAAATATGTCAGCTGCTCCATTTTCGTTCCGCACACAATGTGCACATGCTTAAGGCAACAGAATACTCATAGACTTTAATGATATCAGCTACTCCTGACTCACTATTAACTCTCAGCACACAGAGTGCAGAGGGTTAAACAGCAGGTTATACTGATATATCCCTTAATAACTTTGCAGCTGGCAATTTGATCAATCTGCAGTGTCAATATGGAGCCAAGAAGTAGCTGACATGGTTACCAGAAGCAACAATCATTACACATTGAAATAAGAATTAGTTCAGTCTTCAGAGTCACAGCCCCAGTCCTGCAGCTTGAAGTTTCACAACGTTTGAACTAGACACAACATGAGTGTCTCTGGTTGTAACTGTAGTGTGACTGAGCACTTCAGAGAAGATGGTGAGTATATGCAGTACAAGTAATTTAAAACTATTAGTGATAGGCAAAACAGTGCTCTGTGTCAGAAATATCATAGAAACATAGAAAGTGACGGCATATAAGAACCATTCGGATCATCTAGTCTGCCCAATTTTCTAAATACTTTCATTAGTCCCTGGCCTTATCTTATAGCTAAGATAGCCTTATGTCTATCTCAAGCATGCTTAAACTCCTTTACTGTGTTAACCTCAACCACTTCAGCTGGAAGGCTATTCCATGTATCCACTACCCTATCAGTAAAGTAATACTTCCTGATATTATTTTTAAACCTTTGCTCCTCTAATTTAAGACTGTGGTAGTTTTTCTTCTTTTAACCCCTTAAGGACACATGACATGTGTGACATGTCATGATTCCCTTTTATTCCAGAAGTTTGGTCCTTAAGGGGTTAAATATAGTCTTCTCCTTTACTGTGTTGATTCCCTTTATGTATTTAAATGTTTCTATCATATCCCCCGTGGCTATACATGTTAAGATCTTTTAACCTTTCCTTTTATGTTTTATCCTGCATTCCATGAACCAGTTTAGTAGCCCTTCTCTGAACTCTCTCTAAAGTATAAATATCCTTCTGGAGATACGGTCTCCAGTACTGCTTACAATACTCCAAGTGAGGTTTCACCAGTGTTCTGTACAATGGCATGAGCATTTCCCTCTTTCTACTGCTAATACCTCTCCCTATACAACCAAGCATTCTGCCAGCATTTCCCATTGCTCTATTACATTGTCTGCCTACCTTTAATTAATCAGAAATAATTACCCCTAAATACCTTTCCTCAGATGTTGAGGTTAGTACTCTATCAAATATTCTGTACTCTGCTCAATATCCCCCTTCCTTTGTTAACCCTGAGCTTCTTGGGAATTTTATTAATTAATTGTATATTTGAGTAAATTCCCTTGCTTGATCAGCCCTCAAAAGGACCTCAGATGGGGCTATTGGGAGAGAAAAAAAAAATATATATTTACATTTAGAAGAGGCCAGCAACTGCTGCTTCTAAGATTGATTCTTGCTTCTCTCTCTTGTGGGTACTGTAAGACCACCCTCTGGTGCTGTTAGCTAATGATGCCCCCTGAATAGAGGCCAATATCATGCTTCCACTCCTGGGTTAGCTGGCTCTGGTGCCCGAATGAGCTAGAATTATTAAACTAGAGGCAGGTAGCACTCAGGCAGACTTTACCTAATGTCTGTCTGTCTATCGACTGGGACACAGGCCAAGCATTGTTTCCTGGTCTTTACTTGCCCTGGTTTAAATATAGTCCAACTGAAAATATACAACAATCTTAAAAGAGCACACTCAAAGGACTTTGTAGGTAATTTCAAAATTATTGCTTTATTGTGCAGTAGTGATGTACCGAACGGTTCGCCAAACGGTTTGCCGAATGGTTCGCCACGGACTCATCATTGAGTAAACTTTGACCCTTTACCTCACAGTCAGCAGACACATTCCAGCCAATCAGCAGCAGACCCTCCCTCCCAGACCCTCTCACCTCCTGGACAGCATCCATTTTACATTCATTGTGAAGCTGCATTCTTAGTGAGCTGTCCAGGAGGTGGGAGGGTCTGGATGGGAGGGTCTGCTGCTGATTGGCTGGAATGTGTCTGCTGACTGTGAGGTACAGGGTCAAAGTTTACTCAATGATGAGTCCGTGGCGAATCGTTCGTGGCGAACCGTTCGCGAACCGTTCGGGACATCACTATTGTGCAGTGTAGCATGCTTTATATGTATTATACTGCACAATAGAGCAGCAATATTGTCATTTACTTACTAAGTCCTTTGAGTGTGCTCTATGGAGATTGTTGAATATTCTAACATGCAGTCAAATGTGACACTCAACATTCCTCTAACCAGTTAAGGTATTTCAAGTGTTCCAGCTCAGATGGTGCAACTAATGAAGCCCTTTGTTAGTTGCATCAAGTGTGCTTGAGACAACACCTGTTTAGCATATTTGTGTTGGGATTCTATTCAGGGGGTTGAATAATTTTGAGACTGAAGAAATCATTATAAGTTACGTTTTCAGTTGAATTTGGGGAAACCACATGAAGCATTTGTTGTGTTAAGCTATTGCAATAGCTTTTGTTTGATTTGTTCATTGCAAACAGCTGGAAGTCTATAAATTTTGACAATGTATATCTAATTTTTACAACTGTTAAAGTTTATATAGACAAGAGCATAAATAACTGCATAATATATGAGAGTGTAAACATCCTATATTCTATTGACTAACAGGCAAGATCCAATCCACAACCAACTGTCAAATAGACCAAGGGCAGATAATAAAACAGAGGAAGTAAAACAGAGTAAGAACTTTTATTCTGAGGTATAAGTACACTTTACCTGCACTCTGTGATATATTATATCTTAGTAACCATGAAATTTAATTTTTCTGATACATTTGCTGAATTATTTCCTAGTTTCATACCTGACAGAACAAAGTTACATAGTGTACAATCAAAATGTTCATTAGCTTTTAAGTATAGCAATTCAAAGATTATGGACGGGTGAAAAATTTTGTCAAAAAATGAGAAGCATGAAAAAATTGTTACTTTTTGTGTCCAATGGAAGTTAGCGGGGAAAAAAATGCTTGCATTATTTATTTATTTTTTTAAATTGTTTTTGTTTATTTGTTTTATAATTAGTACTTTTTGTATACCGGAATAAATTAGTCATGCATAATTTCTCCCATGAAAATTATATAAAATATACTATCAAAAAATGTAATAATCTAACAATTTTATGTACAATATAATGTGAATTGCTCCTGCCCTTATATCTAATTCACTATCTTATTCTACTCATGAAGAATACCGCAAACAATCTCTATTAGCTCTACTAAGTTTATATAGTGCATGGTAACAAATATGTTATAACATATGAGTCTCTCCCAATATTGAACAGACTGTCTTCAGGTAAATTTGATTACAAGAAATATTCTGTGTATTTTCTTTTTATTAAATAGAAATACATTGTAATCTCAAAAAAAAAATCAAAAACATATTTTAATGAAATACAATAAGTATAAATAAATGCCCAAAATAGCACGTAATGTATTGATAAATGTGCAAAACCAGTGCGCAAAATATATTTACATATTGTGTGCAGCCACAATAAAAATGTTGTGACAAAACAAAAATAGTAAATAAAACTTATAAAATGGTGTGCAGATATATTTAAATATATTTATCTAGTATATTCTTTTCTATATTCAACCTAAAAATGTAAATATATATATATATATATATATATATATATATATATATTAGTAGGATGCATATAGAAATTGATCGACGTTTCGACCCTGCCGAAAAAGACCCGGCAGGGTCAAAACGTTGATTGATTTCTGTAGGCATCCTTTTAATTAATAAAGCACTATTTTCACCATTTGGAAGACCTGTGAGTGCATCCCGTTTTTTATCTATTCTACATATTGGACGATTGTGGACACAGCACCCAGGCAAGATTTTTTTTTTTATTTTATATTGGAAGGAGAGTGCCAAGCCTCTATTGCTAATATATAAGTCCTGTTGTCTCCTTGCACACACACTTCAATAAATTTCTGCCTGGTGCTGTCAAGCCAATGCCAAAATATACACAAATATAGGGAACAAGAGGCAAGCACTCACGGTCTTTTGATCTCTTTTAAAACGATTTTCTTTATTTCATTGGTTAAAACTTGATCGACGTTTCAGCCACACTTCATGGCTTTCATCAGGATCTTTACAGCTCCAGCTGTAAAGATCCTGATGAAAGCCATGAAGTGTGGCTGAAACGTTGATCAAGTTTTAACCAATGAAATAAAGAAAATCGTTTTAAAAGAGATCAAAAGACCGTGAGTGCTTGCCTCTTGTTCCCTATATTTGTGTGTGTGTGTATATATATATATATATATATATATATGTGTGTGTATATATATATATATATATATATATATATATATAAAAACAGAAATACAAAATAAAAATAGCAAACAAAACCTCCAAAGGAGTATCACTTTCAAAAAAGAATGATTAGCAACTCCACACGATACTATAATGCTTGGTTTCAGCCGGCCAATTAATTTCACTGTATGTGAGTTTATACTCCCACACAGACATGGTTTTATGCTTTATTGGTGGTTTGGGAATCTGCCTTCCTTAAAATAGCAGCATACTTATATTTTGATTATTTTTATGAATGCTACAATTTCACCTCTACTGAATGATACAAAATCTGAAACGTGCTACTACTTTCATTTTTTTGAAAGGTACACATGGTAATATTTAATAAATTATACCCATTCTCACATTTATTTTTTAAACAACAAAATGTTATATATATATGTATATACACAATTGTACAATATTTGTACTAGGGTATACTTTACATCAATCAATACAGAAATTTTAAGTTTTTATTTGTTTTATTTCATGAACTAGCTACATGTTGTGCTTTAATTAAATGTTATGTTTGATTGCATTTCTAAAGAACTGAGTAGTGAAAGAGTTCATTATTTTACCGCCCTTGCCATTAGCAATTCTGCATCTTGATATTTATAGACAACGTGCTATCTTTCAATACTGAAATAATTTAAAAGGGCTGCGTTCCATTTTTTTTAATGGAAACATGAAGCTGAAGCACACTACTCTTCTTTTTCAATTATTAACAAAGCTCTTACTCTGTTTAAAAGGCTCACACATCACCAGCTTGGTGGGTGTCCACTAGATTTAATTTCTTAAAAGCAAGAGGAATTTGTGTAGGCATGTGTTCCACCAGATTACGCTCTCTCAAAGCCATTTTTCTTATTGACCAGTTTATTAATTGGACCCCTGGCATCAAGATGCTTTGGAAGTTTGGTTATATCATAGTATTTCTCTAAGTGCTGCTCTGTAGAACTAGGGATATTGCAATCACAATGTGGTTATTTACATTAATCGAAACTGCAAGAGACAGCATAAATCTACAATGTTTCACACACTGATATTAATTGTATTATTTTAGCAGTGTTTTAAATACATTATTGCTGGTTGAATGCACCATGACACACAAGATTTGTCCTAAATTTTGAGTGCACAGTAATGAATTACATCTCAATTTGTATATATAATTTTCTTTTAAAGTCTATCCATCAAGAGCAACTTGGGCTAAAATTAAAGAATATTACATTTAATTTATCATTTGTGCTACCAGAAATGCTATTATTATTATTTTATTATTTATATAGCGCCAACAAATTCCGTAGCGCTGTATAAAACATTGTCCCCTCCAAATCTGTCAATCAATTCTTGGGTTAGATCTGTCTGTAGGCAACTTACAGGTTTAAGGTGAGGATTGTGTGACACAGCAGAGCAGGAGAACACTCCTCCAGGTGGTTCTCCTGCTCTTTGTCACTATGCTGCTCCCCAAGCAAGCTTTTCTTGTGATTGCTGTGGAAATATAGAATGCATTAAGGTCAATGTGCTTGCTGTGAAGCACGCACGCTTACTGTCATTAGAAAAACTTGCATTTAATGGGTAAAATAGAAGAGACAAGATATCAGCTGAGGGTGAAAGGAGACATTTGCTCACAGAAGCTCCAAGAATTTCAATGCTGAACTAGTAGCCAGCAGTTAAATAACAGAATACCTTCTCTGAAAGCAAATAACTATATATCATTTTTCGCTAAGATACATTATATATTCACTGACTTAGGAGCTGGTATATGTTATAGTGAGCTGGTCATGATAGGATCACATTTCAAGTTCATTAGAGTCTCTCTCTGTCTCTCTCTCTTTATTTTTTTAACTTTGAACTAATAAATCAAGGCATATTGAATGCCAGAATCATACTGATTTCTCTGAATACTATAACAGCATGCCAGAAAAGTGTGATGAACAGGGTTTCAGTTTGAACATAAGGATTGAAAGTTTAGTCATGTGAAAACATTTTTTTAAGATGTTCGACTACACCTTGTTGCTGCCAAGTAGAAAATCTACTTGCAAGAGCTTTTTTTGTGTGTTATCTAGATAATGTCAGCTGCAACCTTTTAACATTACGGGAGTTTCACCATATTTATAACATATGTTTTAACATATGGGAGATGTTCAGCTTTCAGGTAGAATTTAATGCATGCTAGTTTTTACTATGTTTACAGTTTTTTTAACTGATAATCTTCCTGAGAATATGTTCTTTTCGACAAGGGTCTTGTGAGTCCTGGTGACACTCCATTTTGTTGGACTCATCACAAATGGATGCCTTGAACTGTCCTGGTGCTCTAGGCACCCAGTCAGCATATCAAAGTGAACAGCCACAGTGGCTTCACGGACAAATACCATGTATGTGGGCACATGTGGTATGCATGTTGCTATTTTTGCGGTATTTGGCTCCGCCTTTCCTTCTTGGCTGAGATAATCAGAATTGATGATGGGAAAGCATTGTGATTGGCTGAGATCATCAATCACTTTTGTGTTCTTGACACTATAGTGTTCCTTTAAATATCTAATGACCCTAACATTTTAATATACTGTATACTAGCTTTAGATTACCATGTCTCCCCTCATCCTCTTCCCCTACCCTCATAGGCATAGGCATTTGATTCACATTTTGTTTGTTTGGTCTCATGTCCATGCAAGTGTTAGAAGGAGATAATATCAATGCCATTCTAAATGTGCTAGTAATGTAGAACAGATAACGGTTGCATTATCTTTTCAGTACATTCAGGATTTATGTATCACTTACCGTCTCCTTGCACTTATTGCCATGGCACTGCTGTAATAATATTGCATGTATGGATCTATCTTTCACAAAAAAGTAATAAAATTGCAAGTCGGAAAAAAACTTTACAGAAAATGAATTCTTGTCTTGAGTTTTAAAACATACTAGGAAATCTTCTATCTAAACCAAGTATATTAAACATATTGTAAAAAAATTGCTCCAAACCTTTCTCTGACCCATAATTAAATCTAATTTTGTTGCTCCTTTATTCAGATTCTACATCAAACTGACTCATATGATTGGCCATTGTGCCCAACTGTAGCTCGTGCACAGTGCAGTGACTTCATTACCAATCATTCTTTTCACATACTGCAGCAGGACAGAGTGTGAGATATTGCTGTGACAAATTCTGTTCCAAGAAAACAGAGGTCCTCCACAGCACCTGAACTCCACCACAATCCACTCTCTCATCATACAGAAATGCAGATCCCTCTGGGATGCCTCCCTCCATCCCTACAACATTGTAGCTCCGCCTCTTTCCCTTGCTATCAAGACCATGTTCCCAGTAAATGAACCCCATCGTCCAGCCTCTGCTTCTCTGCCTGAGTGTATTCCCTCTGTGTCTGATTCACCCCCAGTTACAAACCTCATATTGTACCACTATATTTTTTTCAATTGTATGTATGTAGCCTCCCTTGAGATTCTGACACACTATATAAAGGAAAAAACATTTCTGCTGATTCCTCCACTTGTAGGACCTAGCAAAAAAAGTTCTCTTTATACATCACTCTACGTCAGTGATGGCGAACCTATGGCATGCGTGCCACAGGTGGCACGCGAGGCCTTCTCTGTTTGCACTTGGCCATAGGTTGCCGGGAGAGGGGGCAGCTGGCTGTCTGCAGAGTAGGCACCTGCCTGCCCGAAACGGCAGGCGCCTACTCTGCTTCTGGGTCGGGAGGCAGGGGAAGGGCTCTAGGAAGCAGCTCTCCTATCCTCCTGCAAGCAAGCTGTGTGGAGCGTTGCTGCGTGTTACCATGGCAATGCTCCACACAGCATCGGGCGGGAGGATAGGAGAGCTGCTTCCTACAATACTTACCACCACTGGTCCACCAGGGATACATAATTAATATAACTTTTTTTTTCAATGTATCTTTACCCCTACAGCACCCATACCCCCCACACAGCACAGCACCCCTACCCCGCACACACACAGTACCTCTCAGACACACACACACAGCACTCCACACCCTTACACACAAACACATACACTGCACCCCTCAATGCAGTATGTTTGTGTGTATTCAGCAGTCTGTGTGTGTATGTATTCAGCAGTCTGTGTGTATGTATTCAGCAGTCTGTGTGTGTGTATTCAGCAGTCTGTGTGTGTGTATTCAGCAGACTGTGTGTGTATTCAGCAGACTGTGTGTGTATTCAGCGGACTGTGTGTGTGTTCAGCAGTCTGTGTGTATGTATTGCATTTGTTGGAGATACTAATAAATATAAGCTTAATTTTATCTATTTATATCATAATTTAAAATTTGTATCATTGAACTCTCTGTTGTGTTCTTCCTTTAAAACAAAAGTTGTTAATTAGTACGGACAACTGTACGAGTAGTTTGTTTCTAAACTTAAACCTCAGTATTCAGGTTTAATTGCCATGTTGGCACTTTGAGGGGAAAAAAAAGTTGGCATGTATTGCGGTTTGGGCACTCTGGCTCAAAAAGGTTGCTCTACGTATTTTGTCAATTTACCCAATGTGCCAAGACTAGACATTTTTTGCCCCTCACTGCTCAATACACACAATTATTTTTTTCAACTCATTTCTTCTGTACAACATAACCTCCTTTACTTGAATTTCATCCCCAAGCAATCAGTAGTTATAAGAGGAGATAATTCAACTGGTTAAATTGTAGTGCAGCCTTAGTTTCAAGCTGAATGGTTTAAATAATTCTTTTGTTTTGCTTAAATTGCTTGATTCAACCAAAATGGAACTAATAACATGTTATTTGACAAACAAATGTTATGTCCCTATTTCTTTGTCTAAGTATATGTTTTAGATGAATAATTGGAATATTATGTATTTCTATGTTCTGTTTATATTAATAGGATACTTCGGCAGAAAATGTTATGTTTGCAAACAATACTGAAGTAAATGAAGAGGTATCTGAAAGAGCTATCAGGTATAATAACAAATACAATCATAAAAGCATTTTTACTTGCATACTGGGCTTCACTTAACCCCTTAAGGATGCAGCCAAATGTACAAGTTGTGATCAAAACAAAACGTAAACAAAACCTGGCATTTGCGCTATATGTCTGTCCAACCGTAATTCACCTCTTTCATATTAAATGCACCCACACTTATTATATATCATTTTATTCAGGGGAAACAGAGCTTTCATTTAACATCAAATATTTAGGTATGGAACATAATTTAATATGAATAAAATTGGGAGAAAATAAGATTTTTAAAATTTCTCTTAGTTCTACATGACATTTTAACTGTGAATGTCAAATACTGTTTGCTTTTACTGTAATAAAATACACATATTTGTATTCAGCGATGTCTCATGTGTAAAAACAGTACCCCCTATGTACAGGTTTTATGGTGTTTTGGGAAGTTACAGGGTCAGTAGTACCCTCACTAGACTCAGTAACATAGAAATTCAAAAACAAATAAATTTTATTAACAAGAAAGACAATATTATTGTTTAAAAAATGCTCAAAGTGCTGCGAGTACACATGTGATAGAACTGCAACTCTATGTAAAGTGGACAGAATAAAGGACCATGAATTGTTATATTAGCCCATAATTGATGCCGAAAAAGGTACTGTCCACCAATACTTGCAGAGGGATAGTGTGTGTACGGGAGAATCTAAAGGTAGCTTACACGTCTGTATACTGTATAATCCTATATCGGGCGTAGTGGTTGTGAGTGCTTAATTCAGTATAATATCCGAGTGGTATTAAATATCTATTATGATGTAAAATCTATTGCTAGTAATCGAATACACCAGTTAACCCCTACGTTGCTGCTGGGGAACTAAATTCGAACCACTCAGCTGTAAAGTCTTGAATATGTCAGTAAGCTTATATCAATCACTGGATTAAGCTGCAAACAACATATGCATAGGGGATAAGAGAGGGGAGTAAAAAAAGCTGCATAGCCTAAAAAAATGATCAGTTTGCCGTCTAACACGGTAGACGGACAGCATAACCAAAGCCCCTGACACGCGTGTTTCGCCTGACCTGGCTCATCAGAGGGGAACTGGCTGGTACTGAGCGGTAAGTTTAAAAAGGGGAAGGGGTGAGATCTGATTGGTTCCATGTGGAACCATCTAATTGGTCCACAGGTCATGTTACATGTTACATGTTAGGTCATGTTACACCTCCTCCCGGAGGATGTCAAATTTAACCCCTTCAGGAAAGTCATGGGAGAGTTTTACTGTGTAAAATGTATTAGATATTGATGCAATGCCTAATCCCAAATGGAGGACTGTTCATGATAGTCTCATATGTGTCAACTGTACAGGACCAGGAATGTTACAATGCACTTATGGATGAAAGGTGTAAAATTAAATTCCTCATTCAGGCCGTCTGGAGTTAATGTTTTGAACTGGTAGATCCATCTTGATTCCTTCATTGGGAGAATTTTATTAAAGTTGCCTTTCCTAGAGTTCATAGTGAGTCTTTCTAGTGCCTGAAAGGTCAGGTGTGTGGGACCTCCATTATGATAATTTCTAACATGGTTGGAAATTGAAGTTGACACATTAGATTCGTAATTGAGCTTCTTCTAAGCTGTTGATATGTTTTGCCAATGTACTAAATCCTGCAACTACATGTTATCAGGTAGACCACTCGTACAGAGCCACAATTGATAAACTCTCAAATCTTGTGTTCCTTTTGGGTTCTTGTATTCACCACTGATTTTATGGGTTTAATGAATTTGCAGGCCTTGCAGTGTCCACATTGATATATCTCTGTTGTCTGCGTTAGCCATTGCGTTAGCCATCATGGTTCAATGTGGCTGTGTACTAGATGGTCCCTTAGATCCTTAGATCTACGTGCTTTGATATTAGGAAACTTTCAGATGTTGTCCTGTAGATCCGTATCATGTTGTAAGATTGGCCAATTATGGGACATGATTTTTAACACTGGGTCCCAATATTGGTCATAGGTGCCTACACATTAGTTTTTGTTCCTCCTTGGGTCTCGTTACTCTCAAACTATCACTTCTGCTTTGGGCCTGTGCTCGTTGAAATGCCTTTTTTAAAGATCCTATTTGGATACCCTTTTTGTTTAAACATATTTCTTAGGTGTTTTGCTTCACCCAAAAAGGCCTCATCGTCTGGCTCTCAAATATTGCTCAAATGGTATTCCTGACTTAAGTTTGTTGACTTAAACATAAAAATATTGAAGGATGGTAGGGTAGAAACAGAACTCTTTAGAAAAAGCACAGCAACAAACAGCCTACTCCATTGGACTACCCACCATCCTATCAAACTTAACCTATACATATATTGTCCACAGCTTAGTCCAGTGATTGATATACGCTTACTGGCATATTCAAGACCTTGGACTTTACAGCTGAGTGGTTGGAGTTTACTTCCCCAGCAGCAACTTAGGGGTTAACTGGTGTATTCGATTACTAGCAATAGATTTTACATCATAATAGATATTTAAAACCACTTGGATATTATGCTGTATTAAGCACTCACAACCACTACGCCCGATATAGGATTATACCGTACACAGACGTGTAAACTGCCTTTAGATTCTCCCGTACACACACAATCCCTCTCAAGTATTGGTCGACAGTACCTTTTTTGGCATCAATTATGGGCTAATATAACAATTCATAATCCTTTATTCTCTCCACTTTACATATACTTGCAGTTCTATCACGTGTGTACTCTGAGCTCTTTGAGCACTTAAACAATAGTATTGTTTTTCTTGTTAATAAAATGTATTTGTTTTTGAATTTCTATGTTACTGAGTCTAGTGAGGGTACTACTGGCATCCCATTAGGAATATACTGTACATAGCTGTCAGGGTACCTGTTGGTGATGTATCCAGGGAGGACATCCTCTCTGCTTAGGGCCTCCCTGCCCCTAGCATTTCGGCATATTCCGGCCGTTTTTGCGCCGGCCGCGCTAGCTCCTCCCCCTTTTATGACGCGACGCCTAGCGTCGACGTCATGACGTCGGCATTTGCATAAAGTGCCGGGAACCGCTATTCCGGACCTTTTGGGGGCGTGGTCTCTATTTAGGTAACAGAGTATTTAAAGGAAACCTTTACTACTGCTCATTGCCCTGTCGTGGTTCTAGCTTGCTAGTCACTCAGCGCGTTCTTTATCTTGTGTTTCCGGTTTTGACCCTTGCTTGTCTTTTGTCCTGTTGTCCTCTCCTCTCCTTTGACTCGGCTTGTATCTCGCTTACCTGTCCTCCGGCTCCCTTGACCTCGGCTTACCTTTTGACTATTCTTGCTTTGTCCTTACGTTAGTCCGGCCATTCTAAGGTCCGGTATACGTACCTCATTCTGTGCGCACTCTGCGTATTGGATCCCTGTCACTTTCCTGACATTACGACAGGGCCAGATGGATCCTGCAGGTGCTAGCCCTCCTGACCCCAGATTTGAGGCCATGGACCATAGAATGGACCAAATGGCTTTAGCGTTACAAACTTTGTTAACACGCTCCAGTACCCAGTCTGAAGAAATACGTTCCACTGCTAGCCACTCGCTAAGTACTGGTTTGGAAGTAGCCACTGTAGGCGCATCTTCCCATGTCACGTCACCTTACGATATGGGGGTTCGCCTGATGCTTGTCGTGGTTTTTTAAACCAGATAAGCATACATTTCGAACTACAACCCCGGGCTTATCCCACTGACAGGGCTAAGGTAGGCTTTATTATAACCCTGCTAATAGATAAAGCACTTAGATGGGCCAATCCCCTTTGGGAGAATGACAATCCTTTAGTATACAACTACACTGCGTTTGTCACGGCTTTTAGAAGAACCTTTGACCCCCCAGGGAGGAAGATTAATGTGGCCAGATCCCTGTTACGCCTTAAACAACAAGATAGGACCCTTGTAGAATATGCTCTAGAGTTTAGATCATTGGCAGCAGAAGTGAAATGGAACGAACAAGCTTTTATGGATGTTTTCTTGAATGGGTTGTCTGATGAAATTCTAGATGAAATTGCCACAAGAGAACTTCCGGAAAATTTAGAGGATTTAGTATCCTTCATTTCCAGAATAGATGAACGCATGAGACAGAGGCAGAACACTCGGGAAAGAGTTACTAGACTTCCTGTAAGACTCGCTCCCTCATTTCAGAACCCTGACTCCTATAATCCTACTCCACCAGAACCTATGCAAATAGGTAATACTCGCTTATCTGAGGCTGAGAGACAGTACAGAAGAAGGGAGGGTCTCTGTTTATACTGCGGGCGGAGAGGTCACCTACGTCTTAGTTGCCCTAATCGTCCGGGAAACGCTCGCACCTAAGTTCCCTTAGAGGACGGGCCTTGGGTGTTTCATTACTGTCCTCTATGCATAATAAAAAAGACCATAGGCTTCTGATTCCTGTCTCTCTAGCTTGGGAAAAGGGGTTTATTGCTACAATGGCATTATTAGATTCTGGAGCAGCAGAAAGCTTTATAGACCAAACTTTCGCTAATAAGCATTGTATCCCATTCCAATTGAGAGATACACCCTTGGCCGTTGAGGCCATAGATGGTAGACCTTTATCTGAACCAGTAATATTCCATGAGACCGAACTCGTTAAGCTTACTGTTGGTATTTTCCATGAGGAGTTGATTTCCCTTCTGTTAATTTCCTCCCCGGCAGTCCCAGTGGTACTAGGATATTCTTGGCTCAAGAGACACAACCCTCAGATTGACTGGGAGGGTGGAGAAATCGTTTCTTGGGGTATGGGTTGTAGAAAAGAATGTCTGCAGAGAGTTACTTCTGTTTGCCCCGTAAACTCTTATGTTAACACTTCTCAATCCACAGACGTTCAGATACCATTACAATATCTAGACCTCAAATCTGTATTTGACAAGGGTAAGGCGGATACTTTACCTCCCCACCGGTCTTATGACTGTTCTATTAAACTTTTCCCTGGTACTATGCCTCCCAGGGGTACGGTATACCCTCTATCCACCAAGGAAAACTTAGTTTTAGAGGAATATATCAAGGAGAATTTAGACAAAGGATTTATTAGAAAGTCTTCTTCTCCGGCGGGGGCGGGTTTCTTTTTTGTAGAAAAGAAAGACGGTACCTTACGTCCTTGTATAGACTATCGGGGATTGAACAAAATTACTATCAGAAATGCTTACCCTATTCCTTTAATTACTGAACTCTTTGACAGACTAAGGGGCTCGAGTATTTTCACCAAACTTGACTTAAGAGGAGCATATAACTTAGTGCGAATTAAACAAGGAGATGAATGGATGACAGCATTTAATACCCGTTACGGGCATTATGAGTATACCGTAATGCCGTTTGGGCTTTGTAACGCCCCGGCCGTCTTCCAAGACTTGATCAATGAAGTTCTTAGAGAATTCCAACATGAATGTGTAATTGTATATTTGGATGATATACTAATCCATTCTAGAGACATTAATTCACATCATAGACAAGTCAGAAAGGTATTACAGAAACTTTTACAACATGGATTGTATTGTAAATTGGAAAAATGTAGCTTTGACCAGTCTCAGGTAACTTTCTTAGGTTACGTAATTTCCAAAGACGGGTTTATGATGGACCCGACCAAACTAAAATCGATTTTAGATTGGCCTTTACCTAAGGGACTCAAAGCCATACAAAGATTTCTTGGATTTTCTAATTATTACAGACGTTTTATTAAAGGGTACTCCTCTGTTATCGCTCCTATCACTAATATGACCAAACAAGGAGCCGATACCAAAACCTGGTCTACTGAGGCTTTATCTGCTTTCGAAACGCTCAAACAGTCTTTTGCCTCAGCACCTGTATTAGTTCATCCTGATACCTCTCTACCCTTTTTACTTGAAGTTGATGCGTCTGAAACAGGGATAGGCGCAGTGTTGTCCCAAAGACAAAGTTTAGATAAGCCGCTGCACCCTTGCGGTTTTTTTTCCAAGAAACTATCACACACTGAAAGGAGATATGACATTGGTGATAGAGAACTTCTAGCTATCATTATGGCATTAAAGGAATGGAGACATTTGTTAGAGGGCACCGTCCTCCCAGTTACTATCTTGACTGACCACAAAAATTTATCGTATATGGGGGAGGCCAAAAGATTATCTGCCAGGCAGGCACGTTGGTCTATGTTCCTTACACACTTTAATTATGTGCTTACTTACAGGCCTGGTTCTAAGAACACTAAGGCAGACGCTTTGTCACGTCAGCACGAACCTACCACCTCTACAGAGGATACTTTGTTCCCTATTATTCCTGGAGTCAATATTATCGCCAACACCAATGTCAAAATACACTCTCCATTGCTCGCTGATATTATGAACGAACAATCTCTTGCTCCCGAACGTACTCCTGTGGGCCGCTTGTTCGTGTCCCCAAATTCCAAGTGGACATTATTCGCTGTTTCCACGATAGCAAGTTCGCTGGTCACCCCGGCATCCACAAAACTTACTGCCTGATCTCCAAAGACTTCTGGTGGCCTGGTTTACGTAGGGATGTGGAAGACTTTGTCAAGGCTTGCAATGTTTGTGTCAGGAATAAACTTCCGCGGGATCTCCCTTGTGGTTTATTGCAGCCCTTAGTCGTTCCCAACAAACCTTGGGCTTGTTTGGCTATGGATTTTATTGTTGATCTACCAGCTTCCAATAGGCATACAGTTATCCTCACGGTCCTTGACAGGTTTACTAAAATGGCTCATTTCGTTCCCTTGCCTAAACTTCCGTCCTCCCCCGAACTGGCCGTGATATTTGCTAGAGAAATTTTCCGTTTACATGGTATTCCCAATGAGATTGTGTCAGACAGGGGTTCCCAATTTATTTCCCGTTTTTGGAGATCCTTCTGTTCACAGTTGGGCATCAAACTGAATTTTTCTTCGGCCTATCATCCTCAATCTAACGGAGCAGCCGAACGCACTAACCAAAAAATTGAGCAATATCTACGTTGTTTTGTTTCTGAACACCAGGATGACTGGGTCGGTCTGATTCCTTGGGCGGAGTTTGCTCACAACAACCTTGTTTGTGGTTCCACTGTAATAGCCCCTTTTTCTTGAACTATGGCTTTAACCCTACTGTTCTTCCGTCGGTGTCTCCTTCCCAGGGTATACCGTCGGTTGATATTCATGTAGCCAACCTGAGAAAGTTGTGGGATCAGACTCGACAAATTCTTGAACGTAGTTCCGCGGTGTTTAAGTCACATGCTGATAGGCGTAGACGTCCTGCTCCTATTTTTTCTCCGGGGGATAGGGTCTGGTTGTGTACCAGACACATTCGCCTGAAAGTTCCTTCCTTGAAGTTTGCTCCTCGTTACATTGGTCCTTACAGGGTACTGAGGAGGATCAACCCGGTTTCTTATTTGCTGGATCTACCTCCTACTCTACGCATCCCTAACTCTTTTCATGTGTCGTTATTGAAACCTCTTGTTTGTAACAGATTTTCCTCCCGCTCTGCTCCTCCATCCTCGGTCCGTGTGGATGGTCAGGAGGAATATATCATCAAGTCCATCCTTGATTCTCGTATTTCTAGGGGGAAGCTGCAATACCTCATAGACTGGAAAGGTTATGGTCCGGAAGAGAGGTCTTGGGTTCCTGGTAATGACGTGCATGCTCCTCGTCTTCTTCGGGCCTTCCACGTTCGTTTTCCCTCTAAGCCCGGTCCCATCCGCCCGGTGGGCGTTTCTAGAAGGGGGGGTACTGTCAGGGTACCTGTTGGTGATGTATCCAGGGAGGACATCCTCTCTGCTTAGGGCCTCCCTGCCCCTAGCATTTCGGCATATTCCGGCCGTTTTCGCGCCGGCCGCGCTAGCTCCTCCCCCTTTTATGACGCGACGGCTAGCGTCGACGTCATGACGTCGGCATTTGCATAAAGTGCCGGGAACCGCTATTCCGGACCTTTTGGGGGCGTGGTCTCTATTTAGGTAACAGGGTATTTAAAGGAAACCTTTACTACTGCTCATTGCCCTGTCGTGGTTCTAGCTTGCTAGTCACTCAGCGCGTTCTTTATCTTGTGTTTCCGGTTTTGACCCTTGCTTGTCTTTTGTCCTGTTGTCCTCTCCTCTCCTTTGACTCGGCTTGTATCTCGCTTACCTGTCCTCCGGCTCCCTTGACCTCGGCTTACCTTTTGTCTACTCTTGCTTTGTCCTTACGTTAGTCCGGCCATTCTAAGGTCCGGTATACGTACCTCATTCTGTGCGCACTCTGCGTATTGGATCCCTGTCACTTTCCTGACAATAGCATACTATCTGCTTTCTAGTTCCCTTTGAGGTACACTGTTCTTCTTTGTTCTATTAGTTTTTCACCTGGGGTTTACCCCCACAATTATTGTATCCTCTCAATTTGTTAGGCTAGTCTTCCTTTCTTTTTTCAACTCATGAAGTCCTCACCTAGCAATGCCTCCTGAGCACTGTACTGTGCATCTATGTATTGTGTGCGTGTTTGTGTAATATATTCATGTGATTGTATGTGTAAATTGCATTTGAGACGTGTAATGACACACAGTACACATTACACAGACATATACATAATCACATCAATAACAAACAAGATGCTTAATTTTCACATATTTTAATGTTTGAAAGAAGACAGTGTCCAGCTAATTTTGAGTGCCTGGGGAAATATGGCAGTGTATCAAGCAAAACATGTCAAATGTTTTCCCAAGCTGTTTAAAGTGAACCTCTTAACTGTGGTCCTAGAACTGAGAGGATGGTTTCAAACAACTACACAGGATACTTAATGGTTGTGTTTTCTGCTGGAGGGAACACTACTGTTTGAATAGGCATCCAGAAATAGGTGTATTGACCGTGGTCCCACAACAAAACCTAAGATACACGTTGACATGATATTTGCCAGGATTGAAAACAATTTGCATATAATAAAAAAATATTTCATTAAAACAAAGGGATAAATTGGAGGTTTCTTTTTTTGTATGCAAATATCTATCTGGCAAACATCAATAAAGCTATTTACAGGACATTGTGTGTTGTTTTAATTGCTGTACACTACTGTTGATGTTGTACTGCTTGGCATACAATTATAATATTAATATTATGATAGTAGTTATTACAATATGTGCTGTAAAAATATAATCATTGTCAAATTAAATCTTACTGATTAGTATTTCATGTACTAATTTCAAATTCAATTTCTCTATTCATTTTGAAGCATTGGTAACACAGGCAATACTTAAAATTCATGATTAAAAAAGACATTAAATTAACCATACGCGTTTCACAGACTGGATTTTAAAAAATAGATGACAAACAGGAAAGCCACTTAGAAAAGATGATTTGTGTTTAAACTATGTCCATATAGGGTCAATCCAAGACCCAATCACTATTTTTCGTAGATCTCGTAACTCACTCTCTGAGAGTGGCTTAGAATGACAGCTATTTATAAAACTCTCTGCAACTGTAAGCCAGCTCTAAAAAACTCAGTCTCAATGATACATCTAGAGCTTCCAGCCTTTTCTGTCTGATATCAGTGTATCACTTATGTCCAAGTTGTACTTGTGGAGACACACAACTTGAGCTGGGTTCTCTATGCTCCCTAAAAAGAGACATTTACCCTCCCAGTCCCTGCACATATTCCAGGGTATTACACAGTACAGACATTTGCCATTCACTACCTTTGTTTAGCATAGAGTATTTAAACTAAGATACCTTTCATCACACAATATACTGTATGTGCTTTTCAGTGTAGTTGAATAAATATAGTGACAAAAATGTTGTATTTTATAAACAGCCCTTCAAACTCATCAGAGTCTTCAGATAATATGTCTATGAAATCAGATCAGTCTGGAGAGGAGTCGTTGTATTCTACAATGGAAGACTGTACCAGGGGGTTGAGATTGGATGTGACTGACAACCTGAAGAGCCTATCACTATCAACAGCAAGCGTTCAGAGTGAAAATATTAGCAGCTATGAAATAGACACAACAGAAAAGGAAGATTTCTCAATCTCACCCTACGCCTGCTTCTATGGACCCTTATTAAATAAAGCAGGATGGTTAGAAAAACTATCCCCCCATAGGTAAGATAACACACTGATAATGTTCTCTACATTTTAAGTTAAAAATATAAAGTAATGTCAATAAATAATATTTGTGCAAAAAAAGTATAGATAATTAATATTTGCAGATACAATTTTTAATTTTCCAACTGTAGCTCTCTAAAGCTACATTTATTCTTCTAAAGCTACAATATTCTTCTATTCACTCAGTTGTTTGACTGTGTAATTTCTCTACAATATACTTGTGCACGATGAAACACATTTGGTTTGGCTGAATTGAATTATTAAAAAAAATTTCTATCCTTATATAGAATGATTTATAATAACCATATATACAATTATGTACACTTAATTCTTGCGTTATTCTTTGGCTTTCTTTTTTACCAGCTCAATAGGGGCTCCCCACTTTTTAACACTGACAACTATACATGTAGATCTCTGCCTCTAGCTAACTTGAATGGGATATTCATTCAATTCTGCATTGTGAATCACCATATGGCAACTACTGGCAACTACTGTAAAAACCCCCAATAATTATACCTATAGAAACATAGTAGTAGAGTACAACTTGTATACAAGCCTATATTTATTAGCAGATATTTCTTAGTGAAAAAATAAAGATGATCCGAAGATCAAAGAAAAAAGCACACCAGGTTTTTTTTTTAAAGCTAATTTAACTTACAAAAAAATGCTATTTTTTTCAGAACATCGATGTTTCAGAAACGTTGGGTAAAAGTGGATGGACAAACCTTGTCTTACTATTACAATGACAAGGTAAGACTTAAGCAAAGCAAGATGCATTCACTAATCAACTCATATTGAGTTCAGATTTATAATTAATTCACGTTCATCATTTTTACTTTGGGAGGATTTGATTTACAATAATTCTTTAGATTTCTCAGTCATATTTGACAATAAATAACAAAAAAATTACAGCAGTAACATAAATATAAAATTTTTTATTCATCATGTCTGTGCTGCAGTGTGGTAGTGTCACTACTAGAGTTGAGCGAACAGTTCGGGTTCATACCGAACATTACGGTTTTTGGACCCCGGGCCCGAACACTGACATATCAGTGTATGTTCAGGTTGGAGTTCGGTGTTCAGCGATTTAATGGCGTGTAGCGCTGCACGTGTAGCGCCGCACGTCACATGAGCTCTTATTAGTGTAGGGAGAGGATGCAGCTGTGAGGGACAGATTAGGAAAGAATTCTGGTGTTGAATCTTCAAACTACAGCGATTATTTTTGTGGGTGCTATACTACATTTTTGTACCCTGCCCTGAGCCCAGTGCCACAGAGAGTGCAGTGCACTTGCAACTGCTTGTGTGCCAGACACATTACTTTAATCCTGTTCTGGTAGCCAGTGGGCAACATCTAGGCATTTTTAAATACTGCAATTTTTTGGTGCTAAATAGTACATTTGCATACTGCATTTCTTGCAGACCAATAAAACCCTTAAATACTACTGTTACATTGTTTGTTTAAAAAAATCACACTTTTTTTGTGCTAAATAGAACATTTGCGGCCTGAGGTGCATTTCTTGCAGTCCAATAAAACCCTTAAATACCACTGTTACATTGTTGGTTTAAAAAATCAAACTTGGTGCAAACTTTGGTGCTAAATAGTACATTTGCGGCCTGCGGTGCACTTCATATCTGAGAGTCAAATAGAACCGTCAAATACTGTGGTTACAGTGCAGTTTTAAACATTCAAATTTTTTAGGTGCTAAATAGTACATTTGGGGCGTGCACTTCGTATCTGAGAGTCAAATAGAACCGTCAAATACTGCTGTGACATTGCAGTTTTACTAATTCACATTTTTTAGGTGCTAAATAGTACATTTGGGGCCTGCACTTCATATCTGAGAGTCAAATAGAACCGTCAAATACTGTGGTTACAGCGCAGTTTTAAAAATTCTATTTTTTTTAGGTGCTAAATAGTACATTTGGGGTGTGCACTTTATATCTGAGAGTCAAATAGAGCCGTCAAATACTGTGGTTACATCGCACTTTGAAAAATTTACATTTCTTTGGTGCTAAAAAGTAAATTTGGGGCGTGAACTTCATAGCTGAGAGTCATATAGAACCGTCAAATACTGCTATGACATTGCAGTTTGACTAATTCATATTTTTTGGTGCTAAATAGTACATTTGTGGCCAGCGGTGCATTTCATGCAGTCCAATAAACTTAAAATAAATAAATAAATAAAATAAAAAATTGTTGACTATTGGCGGTTACATTGTCACCTGACATAAATCATCTGTTAGTTTGGTGGGTGAACACAAAGAATGAGGAGAGCGTCAAATAAGGGATGTTGCCCTCGTCGTGGTGCTGCTGGTGTTGGTGGAGCTCCTGTTGCAAGGAGAGGACGTGGTCGATCTGTGCCAGCTACACGCACAAGTGAAACACCTTCCTCAGGTGTGAGTACGCAACAGAACCTTTGGCGTTATTTGGTAGGTCTGAATGCCGCTCTACGAATGGTGAGGCCAGAACAAGTACAGGCAATAGTAGATTGGATGGCTGACAGTGCCTCCAGTTCCTTTACATTGTCTCCCACCCGGTCCCCTGCTGAAACCTCAGAGTTGGCACCTGCAGCCCATGGCTATCTGTCTTTCACCTCAGCCCCTTGCAAATCAGCCAAGCAGTCTGAGCCACAAGTCATGCAGCAGTCTCTTATGCTTTTTGATGACTCTGCTGGCGGGGTTTCTGTGGGCCATCCACCTAGCCCTGCCCCAGAAATGGAAGAGATTGAGTGTACTGATGCACGACCACAGATACGTGGACCAGTAAGCACGGGCAGAAATGCTATATCTCCCTAACTGCACACTGGGCAAATGTAGCGGCGGCTGGGTCTGAGGCGGATAGCAGTTTGGTGCGTGTCCTTCCGCCACCGAGGATTCCTGCAATCCTTGCCTCCTGTTGCCTCCTGCTCTCTCTCTTCTCTCTCTTTTCCTCCTGTTGCCTCCTCATCCTACTCCGCTTCCTCCTCCTCTACCACCTCCTCATCCGGTCAGCGTAACCCCTTCACCACCAACTTCAGCACAGCCAGGGGGAAATGACAGCAGGTTTTAAAACGCATATGTTTGGGGGAAAAAACCCACACCGTGCAGGAGCTGTGGACGGGCATTGAACAACAGACCGATGAGTGGTTGTTGCCACTGAGCCTCAAGCCCGGCCTGGTGGTGTGCGATAATGGTCGAAATCTCGTAGGAGCTCTGGGCCTTGCCGGTTTGACGCACATCCCTTGCCTGGCGCATGTGCTGAATTTGATGGTGCAGAAATTCATTAAAAACTACCCAGATATATCAGAGCTGCTGCAGAAAGTGCGGGCAGTCTATGCGTGCTTTTGACGTTCTCACCCTGCTGCTGCTCGCCTATCTGTGCTGCAGCGTAACTTCGGCCTTCCCGCTCACCGCCTCATATGCAACGTGCCCACAAGGTGGAATTCCACCTTGCACATGCTGGAGAGACTGTTCGAGCAGCAGCAGGCGATAGTCGAGTTTCAGCTTTAGCATGCACGGGTCAGTCGCTCTGCGGAACAGCACCACTTCACCACCATGCGAGACCTGTGCGCCATTTTGCACTGTTTCGCGTACTCCACCAACATGGCCAGTGCCGATGGTGCCGTTCTCAGCCTTACTATCCCGCTTCTATGTCTCTTTGAAAAAATGCTTTGGGCGATGATGGAAGAGGATGTGGCACAGGAGGAAGAGAAGGAGGAAGAGGGTTCATTTCTACGGTTATCAGGCCAGTCATTCACAAGTGGCTTGGAGGGTGGGTTCCTGCACCAGCATAGGCCAGGTACACAATTGTCCAGCCAGGGCACAGTTCTGGAGGATGAGGAGGATGAGGAACCATGTTCACAGCAGGGTGGCACCCAACTTGCTTGTGGGCATCACTGGAGCGTGGATGGGGGGATACGGAGGACACAGATGATACACCTCCCACAGAGGGCCTTGAAAGAGTCCTGTATTGTTATTTATTGTCCCTACCTCCCCGCGTCGGGAGTGGGTAATTTGCGTGCCTGGATGTGGTAGCCGTTTCTCAGGCTCCCTCTCTGGAATGGAACCCTGATTCCCCGCTACCCATGGTCACCATGGTAGGCACAGAAAGTAACATCAAAAGTTAATAGGGCAGACATCTGAATGCGTTGTCGCCGTCATGGGGACGTGCGATCGACCCAAGGATATCTAGGGTCACGAAAGTGCCTGCGCAACGATTGCCGATTTGCCCACATTCTAACTTGTGCTGATTACTGAGTGGCCACCCTGCTGAATCCTGTTACAAAGACAACGTGCCGTCCTTAATTCCCTCACTGGAGCGTGATCGGAAGATGCGTGACTACAAGTGCGCTCTGGTTGACGCACTGCTGAGGGTATACCCAACTGACACAAGGGGCTCAGTGGAAGCACAAGGCGAAGGCAGAGGAGGAGGAAGAGGTCACCAACGCAGCACCTCACAAGGCAGGGTTAGCATGGCCGAAATGTGGAAAAGCTTTGTCAGCACGCCACAACAACCAGTACCACTAGCTGATATGGAACGTCTTAGCAGGAGGCAGCATTTCAGCAACATGGTGGAACAGTACGTGTGCACATGCCTACACGTACTGACTGATGGGTCTTCCCCATTCAACTTCTGGGTCTCCAAATTGGGCACATGGCCTGAGCTTGCCCTTTATGCCTTGGAGGTGCTGGCCTGCCCTGCAGCCAGTGTATTGTCTGAACGTGTGTTTAGCACGGCAGGGGGCATTATCACAGAAAAGTGCAGCCGCCTGTCTGCAGCCAACATGGACAAGCTCACATTTATTAAAATGAACCAGGCATGGATCCCACCAGACTTGTCTGTACCTTGTGCAGAATAGACGTTTATACCGGCCTCACCCAGCCATTGTTATACTTAAGAGCACTTATTCTTTGTTTTCTTTTTTTATATGTCCCAATATTTTGGGGGCTACCCCAATAAAAAAAAACAAAAAAAACAAAACAAAAACAAAACAGTGTTGGCTACCTCCTCCACCTTCACTGCCGCTTCCACCTACACCACCACGGTCACCGCCTCTTTAACCTCCTATTCCACATCCACCTCCTCCAACTAGTTCAAGATTATTATTTTAAAATTTTATGTGTTTTATGTTATTTTAAGTTATTTCCCTATCCACATTTGTTTGCAGGGCATTTGTCCTCCTCTTACCCCCATTTTACTTCCTTTTTGCAGCCCCCTAGCCCTTTCCAGGACTTTTTAGAGCCATTTTAGTGCCAAAGGTTCGGGTCCCCATTGACTTCAATGGGGTTCAGGTTCGAGGTCAAGTTCGGGTCAAGTTCAAGCCCAAACTCAAACTTTTTGACGAAGTTTGGCCGAACTCGGCGAACCCAAACATCGACACTACTTCCTATTGGAAACCAAAATAGAACATAAATCCACAGAAGGAAAAAACAAGGTGGTGCATGTGTACATGCATGAGCCACTGATGCAGTCTAGATAATTACATGGTTACTTAGTAATCTAGGTTAAAGTCCCTCAAATTCAACATTTGCAACCCATTTCATGCTATTGATTCAAAAGAAGACAAAAACAAAAAAAACAAACAAAACTGTGTATTGTGAATTTTCCCACGCTATATCTTATTACTCCCTATTCCCTTCCCGGTCTCCTGTCTATCTCTGTGGCAGCTATATAATAGATACACATGCAGTCTCACTGTGATACTATACTGTCTGGTATATCTTTACCCCCAGCATTCACTCTATATCACACTAGATTGTATCTCTTTGTCATGGTGAATAGTACTTATGGATTTATAATCTGCTTTACAACTGGTTAAGTGCTGTCTCATTTATTTTATTTATAGCTACTGTATACTGAATATAGCCTAGAATTCATAAGGAAACAGATAATTATAAGTGATAGTGTTCAACCTGGCTACATTGTTTTAAGTAGATGCTGAGGGGGACTGCCATGAAGCAGTAAGGCAGGTGGAGGAGGTGGATACTGTTTTCAGCAGGAGGTGACCAGGGTTTTGAACGACTTTGAAATCCGCCAGGAGAGCGCTTTTTGGAGGGAAGGGGAACAAACGCTACCTGACACCCAGTATTGTGGTCACAAGAACTCCTGAAAGTTGACTGGCCAAAGCACCAAACACCCTGGAACTGTTTTTAAGCATAGGACCGTTTATGTGGCCGGTCAGTACTTTGACACAGTGGTGTTTACCCTACACTGCACGGATCTGAGCGCTATTTGGAGAACTTGGGAGCTCAGATCAGGGCTATTTAAGGGTGTAATCTGTGTGGGGTTATTATATATTTTTATGATGTTTTGGGGCATTTTTATGTTTTTATGCTTAGTCATCCTGACTAAGAAATCCATTGGCGTGTTGTGGGAGTGTTCTGGGTGTGTTGTGGTAGTGTTATGGGCCTGTTTGACTGTTTCCCTGATGTTATATAAGCAGGCCATCTGGCCAGAATAAATTATTTCTGTTGTACCTATCACCAAGTCTAGGCTGATGTGTTGGTAGCTCAGAGCTTAATTACAGCTTCACTTGGGATTTGGGAGAACTACAGCGGATATACTCAGTCGGAGTATAGGGGATCCTTTACACCCTGGTTATCCACTTAGCTCTTTTTCAACGCAACAGGTGTATGACAGTTTCTGCCTTGCACGTGATGTGTGTTTTTTCTAAATCAAAATAAATACAATTATGCCAAGAAAAGGGAAAAAAAACCTTTGTGATTCCATAATGGCATCAAAAACCTGTTTATACATACATATCAATTATACCGTTGATGTGACCGACCACCCCATCTCTGGATTATAAAGCTTTTTGTCCCATTCTTTTGTTTGTTCACCGAATGACAGACCACCCATAATGCAGAGTGTGCCACTTGTTGACCCTGTTAACCTTTGTCAACACCTCAGTAACTGCAATAACACCAATGTTCTAAGCAGTCCGCTGGGTGGCCGTCGTTCGTATGTGCGAACACGTGGCGGCGGCCATCTTTAGCTGCTAACATAGACAGCGGTGTTTGGTTGGCGAGTGTACGTAACTGAAATCGGACACTCGACGGCGCGAACAACACTGGAACTTCCAACTCCATCAAAGTTCGGGAAATGGTGTGGCATTAAAAAGGCATTTGGTGGGTGCAAATTTCCAAACAAGAGACACAATCTTGGCATATTCACAAATGGTTATGTTCAGTACTTTATTGTATTTCATACCCCAGAAGGAGACTGACCACTCAGCCTGATTTCGTGGAACTCTTATGGGCAGGCACCTCGTGCGCGGTCAGTCTAAAATTTACCCCGGTGGCGTTTCGGCTGCGTTTATGGGATCTGAGTGTTTTTGGGATATGATGGGCACTCAGATCCAGGCTATATGGGGACATATGACTTGAGAGGACACAGTTATTAAATGTATGTTTTTGAGGTATAATTATTGTGTATGTCCTGGACTTGAGAGTTAATGTAATTAGTTGTGTTTTTTACAGTAGTCTTCACTCAGGTCCAGTGGGGAATGCCCCTGGAATATGTTACAGTAAATCCCTTGTATGGGGATTCACTTAAAAGGCCATGTGTGGTCCCCATTAAAACAGTTCCAGTTTTACCCTCAACACAGAGCCACGTCTTGTGCTTGTAGGGAACAGCTATAACAGCTATTTCACTGCGCTTGGGACTATCGCTTTTAGGATTATTGCAGCTCTACTCACACTGTGGGCAAAAGAAAATCTCTAGCGGCGAAACCCCTCTTACCATCGAGGTGTCTGCCACACTTGAATATTCAGATTTTGATAAAAATATCATAGAATATGATGATAACCCTTTTATGTAGAGAAATCCACATCTTTATATGATTTGGTATGCACCTTGGGTCTTGTCTGGTGTGGTAGACCCCCACTTCTATTGATCAACCTGAGTGCCTGTTTCTGTGCTGCTAGTATTAGTGTCTCAGTGCTGTGTTTCAGTCTTACAATTTCCAACCACTGGTAAGATTACATAATGTGAGCCACATCCATTATCTGCTATTGGAGTGGTTTAACTTGCTATGTAACTTCCTCCTTTTTTGCATTCTCTCTATATTGTCGTCCCAGGCATTCCTTTAGCAGTTCATCTTTGGGCGCCATCTTTATTAGGAATTGTAGATGCTCTGTGTTTCATGCAGGACTGTGTTCTTGACACTCATCAAGCCCGACCTCCTCCCTTCCGGCTGGGTGCTGGATTGCAGGTGGAATCCTCCTTTCAAATTGAGTAGTTTCCAGGTCTTGACATCCATGGTGGCCAGCTATCCCTTGACCAGGTTATTATTCCAGCTGGGTACCTGATGTAGGACATATGTGTTGATGGCTTGTATTTTGTTCTTGCCATTAAAATGGGACTTCAGGGCATGTCTGACTCTCTGGAGGTACTTGGATGTTGCTAACCGCCTAGCCTCTTCCACATGGAGGCCGTGTGTTTGCACTACACCCAGTTACTTGAAGATGTTCTCTACATCTCCTATTTGACCTTCTTGTTCTTGAACTCATTCTGCCCTGATCATCTTCCTTCTGTTTGCTATCATGCGCCCACACTTATCTAGCCCGCATGACATTCTGATGTCCTTGCTGTATATCCTAGTTAGGTGGATCACTAAGGTAGTGTCCCGATCACTCTTGGCATGCAGCTTGGTGTCGACCATGTTGAGTAGGTGGATGATGGTAGCTTCACTCTTGAACCTGTATCCATATCCACTCTTCATGGTTATCTGATTAAAATGGCCGAGGCCCATGAAGAACAGCATTGGGGATAGTGCATCACTTTGGTATATCCCACATTTGATGTTCACTTGTGTTATTGTCCTGGAATATGCCACATTGGATGTTCACTTAGGTTATTGTCCTGGAATTGGCTTCTAGAGTTATTTCCCACTTGCCCATCAATGCTCTTGATGAAGGTTCTTTATGTCTTACTGACCTTGTTTAGAGCCAAGCATTCAGTATCCATGTGTGTGGAATTGTGTCATGGGCTTTCTTTTAGTCAATCCAGGCTGTGCATAGATTGGTCTGTCTGTTCTTAGAATCCCATTTGACTGCTTGGTCTACCAGCAGTTGGTGTTTTAATCCTGTGGTGTTTTTTCCAATCCTCTTTTGAGTATTACTCATGTACTAACTCATATCCCGATCAATCCTGGAGGCTAAGATGCCTGACAGGGCCTTCCATGTTGAGGAGAAGCAAGGGATTGGTTGGTAGTTATATGATGTTGTTCCTTTATTAGTTTCCTTCATGACCAGTATTGTTGTGTCTTATGTTAGCCTGTCAGGTGTTTGTTTGTGCTTCTAGCTGTTCATGCATTATTATTAGTTTCTTTATTCAATAGGCGTTGATCATGTCAGATCCTGACTGTGACAGACCACCCTGTCCCTGGATTATTAACGCTCTTTTCCATTCTCCAGTTTTTTTCGGTATACCGTGTTCACCTAAAATTTTATTCTTGTTTTTTGCAAATACTGAACAAAATCACGAACTACCAGGCCACCTGTATGCTGCATATGCTGCTTGTTAACCTCCATCACCCCTGTCAACACCTCATTAACACTAGTAACCGCAGTGTTCTAAGCAGTCAGCTGGATGGTCGCCGTTCGTATGTATGAACATGTGGAGGTGGCCATCTTAAGCTGCGAATGCAGGCAGCGGTATTTGGTCATCGAGTGCATGGAACTAAAATTGGACACTCAACCGCCCAAACACCGCTGAACTTCTATCTCCACCTACGTTTGGTTATATTCATCTGAAAGGAACACTGTTTGGTGGAAGCTTATTCCCGAATGAGGGGCACATAATCAACATACAGACTAATATCTATGTTCGGCAGTTTGTGTGATTTTGTACCGACCACTCATCCCGATTTCATGGAACTATTCTGGGCAGGAGCATCGCGTGCGGTCGATCAGAACTTTACCCCAGTGGCGTTTTGGCTGCGTTCGTTGAATCTAGGCGTGTTTTGGATATGATGGGCACTCATATCCAGGCTATCCGGGGATATAGGACTTTAGGGGGTACCTGATTGTGTGTGTATTTTGGGGTGTAACAATTGTACATGTTCTGTACCTGAGAGATAATTTTATTTAGATGTTTACTTTCAAATAGTTCTCTCTCAGTTACAGAGAAAATGATGGGGGAGATTACCTTGTAATGTTGAGTCAGAAACCCCCTGCAGTGGCTGTTGCATAAAGGGCCGTGTGTGGCTTCCAATAGACCAGTTTACCCCAGCATTCAGTCTCGACTAATGTATGTAGGGGACAGCTATACCTGCTATATCACTACTATACCTGCTTTTGGATTATCGCTATTGGGAAAGTCTGCTTGGGATTTCTACAGCATTACTCACTCCTAAGGGGAAAAAGGACATCTCTGGCGGCAAAACCCGTGTTCCTACCTGGGTGGCCGCCACACTGACCAACGTTTCATGCGTGCCACTCACTATCTCCCACTGTGATGGTGACTGGTTCCTGCTTTGGGAGCATGCAATGGTCTGCTTTCAGGTCAAGTAGCCACTGGGCCTTAGTGCGTCTTTCTTCCAGATGTTCAAGTACTGTTCAGTCTTGGCTCTGGGTGGGTCATGGGTGGATATGTTGTGGTTACATGTTGGATGGTTCTTTGATAAACATGGCATTTATTCTCTTAGCCTCTACTTTTCTGGTGTATCTGCGAAGTCTGGTTGCTAGTGCTGTCAGCCTTTGCTTAGATGTTTCCAGTGCCTCTTGAACAGGCACACCCTTGTATTTCCTCAGTCGCATAATCTATCCTGGATCTTTCCACCGCAGTGAAGTTGATCTAACTTACTAATTTTCTTATGTTTAGCCTATATCCTGGCTTCAAGTTTCTATGCTGGGCATTATTTCTCATTCAGCCTCATCTTGTACTCAAGCATTTGGAGGACCACAAGTGTTGTGGCATATATGAGCTTGTTGGTCTCTGTGATAGTGTTGGTTGGGACTGTGGACAGTGCCTCATTAACTGCTGCTAGAATACTTACTAGTGGCAGTTTTCCTGTGATCTTTAGTAATCATGTCCGGTGGTAAAGGACTGTTAGCTTTTCTACGATCATCTTCCTTTTTTTTTTTTATAAATTCTTCTTTATTTTGAAATTTTGATTGGTGGGGAATGGGTACAGAAAAAAAGGAGTTGGAAGTGAAAGTATATCACACATATATTACCTAATTTATAAACAAATACAGAATTCACGATAGCATCATGGTACAGCTTGGTAACAGTTTATAATTACGCTCCGTATTACCTTACAGTTTGCTGTTTGGATTTGTTGTATTCCGTCTTTTCCATGGTCACACATTAAGGTAGTATCATTACAGTGTTACCTCGGTAATAGGAGATACAGAAGAAAGAAAGGGGAGTGGGTATTAAACTGTAACGGTCATCTTTCTTATATCTGTTGTTATGCCATTTTGGTGCAGTGATTCATGCTGACAACCCTCTGTAAGCATAAGAATTTCTTCCTTGTCATGGATGTTTTGTGTAGTCATCTAATTAAAGTTGTGACACTAGCTTCCTCAATGTTCAAAAGTTGTGTTGGGGAAGATGAAGGTCTCTTATTCATCCATAGTTCCCACCTACATTTCATGTAGCCCCTCTCTTTGGATCTACTGATCTACTGTAGTCGCCATCAAGCAGGTCACGGTTCTTACTTCGTGTCAAGGAATGGTTTGTTCCAGTAGCTCACTTGCCCTTGTTAATCTAGGCAACATTCAAGTCTGTATGATTTTCTTGGTTCATGCTCTCATCTAATTATTGAGGTGGGTGGGTACATATTGTTGGGTGTCTTGCCCAGACGCCTACTGGTGAGGTGATCTGATCAGAATTAGAAACTCGGTTCCCCAGTTCTAAGGCAGTGACATTACCACTGCGCTAGCTATATTTATATTTATTTGTCATTTGTTTTGTAAAAAAAATCTTTGAGGTGATGAATAGAAATCCAAAGTCCATATAATTTAATTCAAACACACACCCCATTTTTACACAATCTGTTTAAGGAGCACTGGAAAAACACTTAAACTGATACCACATAACTTAATGACTGAATATAAATGTTTTTCTAAAGTCTATTCCCTAATTAAGGAGTTTTACATTATTAATTATTAGTGATGTCCCGAACGTTTCGCGAACATTTCGCCACAGACTCATCATTGAGTAAACTTTGACCCTGTACCTCACAGTCAGCAGACACATTCCAGCCAATAAGCAGCAGACCCTCCCTTCCAGACCCTCCCACCTCCTGGACAGCTCACTAAGAATGCAGCTTCACAATGAATGTAAAATGGATGCTGTCCAGGAGGTGGGAGGGTCTGCTGCTGATTGGCTGGAATGTGTCTGCTGACTGTGAGGTACAGGGTCAAAGTTTACTCAATGATGAGTCCGCGGCGAACCGTTTGCGGCGAACCGTTAGGGACATCACTATTAATTATTGTGCATTTAAGCTCCAGTTCACATGCTGTATGCACACCTTATTTTGAAGAATGCATCCAACGCAAGAAATTAATATCCCATATCAATGATTTTCATTTGACCTTAGCTTGATTACAGATATCAAACTTAATGTTATTAGATGCCCAAGATGATACTTGTCAGGTTTTCTGATGAGAATTATCACAACCCAGCTCTGTGTGGGTCTATTCTGGGCTTTTGTGTACAGACCACATAAAAAGTGTCACTTAAGTTTTAAATATAATATTCTTATATTGTAAAAGAAAAAGAAAAAAAATAAGCCTTCCTAGTGTAAACCCTTCATTGCCAATCATAAAAGTGCTAGATATGTGATTTGTTCTATGAATGTTTTATTTTAACATCTAATGAAATATTGCATTTGTTTTTATGTTTATGAGTTCTTGACCTTAGTTATCAACATTTGATGCATTAAGTAACTCAGTCAGAGGGTTGATGAAATATCAAAATTGTCCTGTAAATATAGTGTAGTTTTTTCTTCATTATACAGTGTTTATAAGAAAAGGACATGATAAATGGTTGTATGAGTCTCATGTAATAAAATGTTACTGCAGTAAAAAGAATAAAAAAAATGCAAATTTGTTTAACCTGACCACTGACACAACTGATCAGGCTAGGTGTATATAGAATCATTTCCAGTGGTGAGGCACTTGTCACTCCAATTCTCATTTAACTCAAAGAAAAGGCAGTTTTCAGGCATGATTGCTTGCCTTTTGCTGTATCTGCCCATGCTGTTAACGTCATTTGGCAACAACAGTTGGCGTGGCAACAGATAAGCATCCACATTCCTTGCTTTAAATAAAATCGGTGCAGGGTACTTAGATTCGACCTTAGTTATTGAACATAAAAATAATAAAAAATTAAATAAATAAATAAATAAATATATATATATATATATATATATATATATATATATATATATATATATATATATATATATATATATATTACTTCAAGTAGTGAGTGAGGAAACCTTTGCTTTCACCATCCATGAACTTAAAAAAGTATTAATTGTTATAATTTAATTTGACATTGCATGCATAGCTAACACATCACATAATGGCAAAGTAAGTATTCTTTAAAAAATATAGAATTGATTGTATATATTCATTTGCAGCAGGACTTGTACAAATTTGCTTGCAATCTAGGAGCCAGGTAAAAAAGTTAGGAACCAGGATTTTTTTTAAAACTAACAAAGCTTTTTTTTCATTGACAAAAATACAATTCTTAAAGGGACTTTATAGTCACAAGAACCACTACAGCTTAATGTAGTGCTTCTGGTGTGTATAGCCTGTCCCTGCAGGCTGTGCACTGTAAACATTGCCTTTTCAGAGAAAAGGTCGTGTTTACATTGCTGCCTTTTAACACCGCTAGTGACAGTCACTCAGACGGCCACTAGAGGTGCTTTTTAATCCAGTGCTTCACAGTGTGCAACACCAAAATGGAGGCACTGAATGTTTCGCACAGAGGCATTTTGATTCAATGCATCTCTATTAAGATATGCTTATTGGTGCAGCACTGCATTTTGCCATACATGGGAAAGCATTGCCTTGGCTAAGATCATCAAGATTGATTATTGATTAGCCATGAGACCAGCACGGAATGGGAAAAAGCGTTTCCCATTCTAAAAACACTTTTCCCAGACGACAAACTCCCAGACGACAGGGCAAAATTCCTAGTTGACAAGTTGATCTGGCGTCCGGGATTTATCGAGACCTGCTTTCCAGTAATACTGGCAGCATATAATATAAACCATTATACATTATGTTTTGTAATAATAGGTGTAGAAATACAAATACATATTTTTTATCAAATTCACAAAAAAAAACTAAAAAAACTGAGCAATATCAACATAAAACAAATTCAATACTCTGGCTATACTAGACATCTATATTTCAAAAGCTTGCACAAAAGTCATAGTGTGTTTTTAGAGACCTTTCCAACCCCCAGATAATGTTTAGGAGGCCTATATACAATGGTCCATGCAGGCTCTTGTACTGTATACAGGCCACGGACAACGGAATTACATATTGTATAGCCGCTATACACATTATTGACTTTAAGCATTTAAGGAACTAAAGGTAAAAACTAAAATGAGGAAGAAGAGTCATATTCTGTTTACTATGATAGTTTTACAGAGATGTATTGCCCCTCATGAAATGTACACTCAAACTAAAAGATAAGTCTCAGTTAAAACATCGGTTACTTGATTACTAAAAAATATGGCCTTTGTTTAGCCTGTTAAATATATTACGTGTTTTTCATAACAGGGTTATTGTGCTCATGTAACATAGGAAAATTACATACAAAGATGGTTATTATTAATGTTGTGATCAATTTTTTCATGCTTTGCATCAAAGTCTTTACCCAAGCTATATGTTTAATAGCATGATTGGAGAATGATTGCAATCAAAACATTTATAATTCTGTACAATATCTGTTCTTCTGTGATCATCTTAAAATATATACCTGTCTGTTTAATCTGTCTGTAGTTGGCCTTGAAATGTGAGTTGCCATATTAGTCCAATAATGTAGATGCCAAATTATATGTATTACAATTTATTTTAATACTTTTTTCATTGGACTAACAGAAGTTTGGAGTGATGAGCTTTCAAGACTTTCTCCCTTCATCACATCTAAAGCATTACTCAAAGCTTAAGACTTGATAATGGGAGGAAGTCCCGGAAGTTTGTCACTACAAATTTATGTTAGTACAATAAGAAAAGGTATTGCAATAAAGTGAAAAACTCCTTAATGTGTCTCCTTGTTTGTTCATCATACTTCGGTATCGAGCTTTTTTAGCATGTAGGGCCTAAGATCTTGATTTTACAGCATATTAGATGCATACTGTATATAACAACTAAATCCATCGCACCAAAAATAAGAATATATTTATGGACCTAGAAGATGGCTTTTTCCCTTGTTCTAACAGCATCCTCAGAATCATAGAGACTGTGACCAGGAAAATTATAAATAAAACCAAAGAAAACGCATCATATGAGATCTCACTGCTGTTGCTACATTGATTTTGCATCCAAGATCCTTGAAAAAATTGTGTATGCGAGATTGACAGACTTCCTCAAGTCCAACTCTCTGCTAGACCCGCTTTAGTCTGGTTTCCGCACTAAGCACTCTGTGGAAACGGCACTGGCCAAAGTATCCAATGATCTACTCGCTGCAAAATCTCGTGGTCACTACTCTATCCTAATTCTCCTTGACCTGTCTGCAGCTTTTGACACTGTTGATCATCAACAGCTTCTTCTCATCCTCCGCAATATCGGTCTACAAGATACTGCTCTCTCCTGGTGCTCATCCTACCTCTCCCAGCGCTCTTTCAGTGTTTCTTTCTCTGGTTCTGCTTCTTCTCCCCAACTCCTCTCTGTTGGTGTCCCCCAAGGTTCAGTCCTTGGTCCCCTACTGTTCTCCATCTATACTGCCTCCCTTGGTAAACTCATTAGCTCCTTTGGCTTCCAATATCATTTCTATGCAGATGACACGCAAATCTACCTGTCCTCTCCTGATCTCTCCCCGTCCCTCTTGACTAGTGTCTCTGACTGCCTTTCTGCTGTTTCTAACTGGATGGCTGCCCACTTCCTTAAACTAAACTTGACCAAAACTGAAATTCTGGTCTTTCCTCCCTCAAGTGTTGTTACTCCTGTGTCTGTCTCCCTCCAAGTCAACAGTGCTACCATCAGCTCCACCACGCAGGCATGCTGCCTAGGTGTTCTCTTTGACTCCGACCTCTCCTTCAAGCCTCATTTTCAATCATTCACCAAATCCTGTCATTTCCATCTCAAAAGCATTGCGCGCATCCGCCCCTACTTAACGCCAGATGCGACTAAGGTGTTGGTCCATTCCACTGTCCTTTCTCGCCTTGACTACTGTAATTCCCTTCTCAGTGGTCTTACGTGCTCCCAACTTGCACCGTTACAGTCCATAATGAATATGGCGGCGAGGCTCATCTTCCTGTCGGCCCGCACCTCCCATGCCTCACCTTCTGTCAGTCCCTACATTGGTTTACTATAAAATATAGAGCTCAATTTAAAATTCTGGTTCTTGCTTTCAAATCTCTACATAATGCTGCTCCAACCTATCTATCCTCCCTTACACACAAGTATATCCCGTCTAGGCCCTTACGATCTGCTGAAGACTTACATCTATCTTCTGTCCGTACTCCCACCTCTGATGTTCGCCTTCAAGATTTCTCGAGGGCTGCACCGTTCCTGTGGACCTTGCTTCCCTCCTCTGTTAGATGCTCACCCAGTCTCCACTCCTGCAAAAAATCATTAAAAACCCACTTCTTCATAAAAGCGTATCAATTAAACTGTTAATAGCTCCTGACTGATTCCTCTTCTGCAACTGTCACTAGTCTAATACCATCCTTACCTTTTTGTGTCATTTTACCCCACTCCCTCTAGCATGTAAGCTCATTGAGCAGGGCCCTCAACCCCTCTGTTCCTGTGTGTCCAACTTGTCTGGTTAAAACTACATGTCTGTTCATCCACCCATTGTAAAGCGCTGCGGAATTTGACGGCGCTCTATAAATATCATAGTAATAATAATAATAATATCCAATGTAGACTTCTATCTATGGAGTAAGGGAGAATCAGAGGTATTAGTTGGGTTCTTTTTAATTTCTGAAGGTTCCTACAGAATCCTGATGATATTCACAAAACCTTATTCCCTTTATCTACAACATTGAAATATCCTTTGTTGTGTTAATAAAAACGTGCTGCATGTCTCTTTAAATTTTTATACCACGAGGTTCCTACAAATTTACATTTATTTGCCATTATACAGTTTTACCATAATACAGATCTTTTCTTTCCCAGTTGTGTGCTTTAAATGATCTATCTGCCACTTCCACTGGGTTATCAAAAAAGAGTTGAAGGAAACCGTACGGTCCCAATTTAGTATTTTTTGACTATCAAAAATATTAAATCAGTTACAAAACGTAACCAAAACTATTAAAACAGGTCATGTGTTAGAACATACATCACATACAAATTGTAATACAGGCATAGTAAACATTAAACGGACACTATAGTCACCACAGCAACTACAGCTTAATGTAGTTGTTCTGGTGAGTATAATTATTGCATTCAGGCATTTTCATGCAAACACTGCCTTTTCAAAGAAAATGCAGTGTTTACATTGCCCCTAGAGACACCTCCAAGTGGCCACTCCTCAGATGGCCACTGGAGATGCTTCCTAGGGCAGTGCTACACTGTAGGCAGCACTGCTGTTCAGCAACCCCACGCTCTGCATAGGGGTTGCTGAATTTTCCTCATAGAGATGCATTGATCTATGAAGTGCTGATTGGCCAAAACAGTGTTTGACCCCACCCTCATACTGCCTTCTTGACGATTTTAGCCAATCCAATGCTTTCCCTATGGGACAGCATTGGATTGGCTAAAAATCGGCAATTCTGATGGTCATCAAGGAGGCAGATCGGAGGCGGGGCCAGCACCGACAGACCCACGCGACGCTGGAAATAAGGTGAGTTTTAATTATTTTTAAGGGGGCAAGCCACCCAAATGGTGGGTTTAACACTAGTTTCAGGAATACATGTTTGTGTTCCTGACCCTATAGTGTTCCTTTAGAAAACTAAATATTTCACGAACCTTCTTCTTGCTGTTCTCAGGGCATTGTATGCTGGAACACAATCTCTTTGGTTAAATTTCTCAACTTGAATTGTTTTACTCATTCCTTTGTACACCAGCTCATTCTTTATAAAATTGGTGTCATTATCTTTATGCAACAAAATAACCCTTGCTTAAAGGGACACAGAAGGCACCCAGACCACTTCATTGATGTGGTCTGGGTGCACTGTCCCTGTCCCTTTTAACCCTGCAATCTGAAACATTGCAGTTTCAGAAAAAATGCAATGTTTACATTGCAGGGTTAAGATTGTTTCTGGTGGCTGTCTACCAGACCGCCACTAGAGGCACTTCCTGCTGTTTTATTAAGTTTAACTCCATACAACGTTGCTGGACATCCTCAGGCTTTCCTACGGGGAAAACCTAATGCATGCGCATAAGCTTTCTCCTTGTGATGATGCCAGTGGACTTTGGTGCTGGACTCGGGTACATGTTTTAAAGTGTTTTTAACCCTCTAACTGCCACCAGAGGGGCAGTGTGAGTGGCTGGGCAGAGGGACACTGAAGTTTTAGGAATACAGCTTTGAATTGCTAACACTATAGTGTTCCTTTAAAGGACCACTATAGTGCCAGGAAAACATACTCGTTTTCCTGGCACTATAGTGCCCTGAGGGTGCCCCCACCCTCAGGGGCCCCCTCCAGCCCGGCTCTGGAACGGGGAAAGGGGTTTAAACTTACCTTTTTCCAGTGCTGGGCGGAGAGCTCTCCTCCTTCTCTCCTCCTCCGATCCTCCCCGCTGGCTGAATGCGCACGCGCGGCATGAGCTGCACGCGCATTCAGCCGGTCGCATAGGAAAGCATTTACAATGCTCTCACTGTGAAAAATAAACAAAGTTTCTATGTTCTGCATTTTGACCTTCTCGGTTAAATCATAACAATCCATGTTCTCATTAAGTTTATAGAAACGGTTACTAAAGGGGGTTAACAGACACGGCTGAGTTGGACAAAAGCACCCACACAAATCATGATATGATATAAATGGCATTTTTAATACAGCTGTATTCATGACTAAACGTTTATTTTAGAACATAAATCTAAGGACCGGATAAGGCTCTGAGATACATCAACTAGCAGCCACTGAAATCTGCAATGTTTCTCTAATTGGAATAATAATTCAGCAACCACTTATCACACCTTAGCAATCTCTTTCATGAAATTTTTTAATAAACCTAATAAATGTTAATGATTAACAGATCAACTGCTGAGCAAGTTTTATTATCCAAATGAGCAACTAACAGTCATTGTTATATAGATTAATGTCAAACATGTTGTCGTAGCACACACAGCTAAAGTTCATTACATGTCACCTAGCAGTATTTAATATTAATTTCACAAATGATGATGAAAAAGGTCACAGATCCTCATAGTTCCATCAAACGGTCACTTGGGTTATTTTATTTACAACATATTTTGCTGTACTGTAGAGCATGTAGACACAGCGTACAATAATTGATGAAAATATGTGTATGCACACTGAGAGTAAAAACTAAAAATACAGTTATACTCAGGCTTCAGTTTAAAATAAAATTAGATGAAAACTTCACAAAAATAAAACCTTGATGGGCCTTGTTTAAAGCAATTAGAGATATGTTGAACTTAAGTTAGAACTAGCTTGGAATTGTTAAAGGGACACAATAGTGTCCCTGTCCCCTTAGCTCCGGAGGTAAAACATTACAGTTTCAGAGAAACTACCAACTTTATATTGCAGGGTTAAGACTGCCTCTGTTGTCTGTTTCCCAGATAGCCACAGAGTTTAACTCCATGAAAGCTCACTAGCTGTCCTCACGCTTTGCATGTTGACATCCAGCTTCTTCTAAATCCTTATAGGAAAGCATTGATTCATACTGGCCATCTGGTTCTGTCTGCTCAATATTTTCCGTAGCCCAGTCAAACTATCTAACTTATTATTAGAACGTTTTATGCTATATATTTATATATAGACAAAATGTGCATTGGAATAAAAGATGTTCTTGATGGTGTGATTGCGTGGACCATTGTAAGGAAATAGTTTTGAGCATCAAGTAATAATTTCAGAATTTTATAACCACTACTCTATGGTATTCCATAAAAGACCTTTTAAAAAAAGTGTGGCCTGCAGAAGTTATAAAAGCAATTTATTTGACTAAAGACATAATCATTCCATACATCCAAGTTCTAAGTTTACTTCTTTAACAAAACCATTTTTTATTATTATTTAGTCCATGATTGATGGAAATTACAATTTGTTTCACTGTCTAAGCCAGGCTTTCCCAAACTCCGGCCCTCCAGATGTTGCTGAACTACAACTCTCATGATTCTCAGTCTATCTATTTCATTCATAGAATCATGGGAGCTGTAGTTCAGCAATATCTGGAGGGCCAGAGTTTGGGGAAGCCTGGTCAAAGCCGTTCAAAGTAGCTGCCAGGTCCAGCTACTTTCTCTGATACCACTGGCTGAATTTTCTAACACAGAACCAGCTGCTTCTATGTACACAGAAATCTTATGCATTGTATATATTGGTCAAAAATATTAAGTGGAATATAAACCTGGTTTATACAGTTATTCTCTTCTCTAGGAAATGCCACCTAGTATACAAAATGGAAAGTACATGAATTGATAGGTTCATGAAAAAATGGGTGCATGATTTAATTGGATGATAAGTCAATAAATATATTGTTTCAATTGATTTTAAATAAAAATGTAAAACTAATTACTGTCCAAGCAGGCTTTTGATACGTCAGTAATGCAGAACCCAAGTCTTGTTAAAAGTCATCGTGTGCAATTCAGGTGTCATCCGGTATCGCAACACAATACACTATATTCCTGCAATGCACACCTTGACATGGTTTGGTGAAGTAACATTGTCGTTACAAGAAGCATGTATGTGTTCGTATTGCTCTGATAAGCATTGCTTAGAATTCCAAAGCGATAATGTCATAAAAAAAATACTAATAGTAATTCACATACGATTTATGACACATAAAGTGTCGTTTACTCCGTTTTAAAGTAAAAATCAAAGAAAACATGGCCTCATTATTTGTCAGGAAACAAAACATATACTGGAAATTATATTAAATTATATTAAAACTTGTGTTTACTTTTTTTCATGTGACGCTGCTTTTTAAATTTATATTAAATTACATCATAATCCAGTTAAGACAAGGCAAAGCCAGGGAAGAAATTGCAGATGAGGAGAGAGAGAAACATTGCTTCATTCCTCCTCTTTTTTTGTGTGGTTGCTCTAGGCTCACTGCCAGATGCAAAGGACAGAGCTTATAACAATGGGATTGGCAGGTGCCCTTAGATAGAGGCGCTCTGTTGCATGATAAAAAGGTGTGGATTTATACATTCTTTTTTTTTTTTCACACACACACCTTAAACACATATTTGTTAAATATGGGGATAAGTAAATAGATTATGAAAAAAAAACAGGGGAACAGACAGTTCCACTTAAAGGACCACTCGAGGCACCCAGACCACTTCAGCTTAATGAAGTGGCCTGGGTGCCAGGTCCAGCTAGGGTTAACCCATTTTTTTTATAAACATAGCAGTTTCAGAGAAACTGCTATGTTTATGAATGGGTTAAGCCTTCCTCCAAATCCTCTAGTGGCTGTCTCATTGACAGCCGCTAGAGGCGCTTGCGTGCGTCTCACTGTGAAAATCAGTGAGAGCACGCAAACGTCCATAGGAAAGCATTATGAATGCTTTCCTATGAGACCGGCTGAATGCGTGCGCAGCTCTTGCCGCGCGTGCGCATTCAGCCGACGGGGCGGATCGGAGGAGGATCGGAGGTGGAGGGCTCCCCGCCCAGCGCTGGAAAAAGGTGAGTTTTTACCCCTTTCCCCCTTTCAGAGCCGGACGGGAGGGGGACCCTGAGGGTGGGGGCACCCTCAGGGCACTATAGTGCCAGGAAAACGAGTATGTTTTCCTGGCACTATAGTGGTCCTTTAAGTAAAAAGCTATTAGGACTACACTTGTTAAGCATTTGCTTTAATAGTCCCATATTCTGATTTCACCTGATTCCTCATCTGAAAAGCACCGTTACCATTACTATTAACACATGAAAATCCTAGCAGCTATCCTTCAACTACAGAACCCTACAGAGGTTCAGAAACCTTTATCATCTGCTACAACAAGTGATAATTGGAGAATGTGAAACAATGCCATTTATTATAAATCATATTACATTATTGCCACTGGAGATCAACTGTTCATTGGTTAATTATTTGATTTTGCGATGCTCTGCAAAACAATGTAGTATACAATGTGCATAGTATTCTAGAATCAGTCAAAGATAGATAGATAGATAGATGAGATGTCTCTCTCTCTCTCTCTCTCTCTCTCTCTCTATATATATATATATATATATATATATATATATATATATATATATATATATATATAAAACAAAAGGGTTCCTTACACTCACGCTTTCCTTAGGTATTGCCAGGTGCCAAAGTCAACTGGCTGATGCACATAACAAATCCAATAGTGATGACTGCAATCCTCGGTCTTCGTATAAAATCAAAATAGCTTTATTAGATATACATTAAAAAGAGAAAGATAGACGTTTCAGCCCCACTCTGGGCTTTCCTCAGGATAAAAAATTACATACTTAGATAATTACCATGTATGTAATTTTTGATCCTGAGGAAAACCCATAGTGGGGCTGGAACGTTGATTTTTCTCTTTTTAATGTATATCTAATAAAGCTATTTTGATTTTATACAAAGACTGAGGAGTGCAGTCATCACTATTGGATTTGTTATATATAGAAATACATACACACCTTTAAAAAGCTACACTTTCTGGTTGCAATATCACTGTTAAATGGATCCATCTGCTCTTAATTAGTTGATATATAGGTCAGAAAAGGGTAAAGTAGCCCTTTCTTAACCTTTCCAAAGCTTTTAATTAAAACTTTACACATTTTTCAAAAAACAAAACAAAACAAAAAAACAGCATACAGCCTGTTTTGCTAAAATTTTTATATGCTAAATGGAAGAAAAACATAACATTGTCTGCATTGCTACAGAAAACACATGATACCTTTACTAAAAGTGTAGATACACAAACCTTAGGTCATCACATAATTTGGTTCTTTCATGCTTGGCCCTCTTTTGGGCCAATTTACCCCAATATAATCTACTTAGACTTATATATGGCAAAGTATGCATCTAAACTGAATTAAATGTGATGTGGTTTAAAATGCTGGGTGTCATACATGTAGCATGTATGGAAAGAATGTACATATACCTTTAACTATACATAAACCCTCATGTGTCAAATATAGTTTTATTACTGTATATGCTAATCTTTGTCCAATCAGTGTCCTCGGTAGCAACTGGAAGAACACAAATGTGCATTGGGCCCTTTGCACATATAGCCTATCTCTTTTCCAAGCTCATTACCCACATACCTTCTGTGTCTTATTTCTCATATAATGTATTCCCTATGCCCACAGACCCTTGGTATGGGCTGTGATCCCTCCTATCTCTTAATTTCCCATTAAATTTATCTGTGATTCAGCCTTTCTGTAAAAATGGATTTTATACGGCTGCAAAGTCTAGCTGCAGATGGACGTTAGAACACACAAGACCAGAAATACAAATTTATGTTTTAGTCCAGTGTAAAGTTCAGCTCCAGGCCCATAAAGTCTAATCCAGCAAAGGTGGACATTTAGAATTCAGTGTTCAGTGTGACAGTCAATAGAAACTAAATACCACATGACGTTCTCAAAAAGGTTTAAAACAGGGTTTTGACAACTAGTTGGGCCACACTTAAGAAATGAAAAAGAGAAAACAGCTACCCACTCGTTGTCCAGCCCATATTATATATTTACATGGTTCTGGCTGCTTTGGGGGCAATCTAGAAGCTTAGTGGATAACCCTCCCTGCTTTTGAGAACAAATATGCAATCTTGATATGAAAAGAAAATGTGAGATCTTTAAAAAGGTAATTGCCTTAATGCATCAAGGAAAGCATTTAAGCAATCATGTAGCACAATGTTAGAATGTGGCTCTGAAAAGGACCATTTATTTGGTTTCCATGCCCTTTGCTCTAAATGAATGTTGACTTGCTTCAATTGTGTTCGATAAAATTACCCCTTATTCTTCAAACTGTGATTTCAATTAATTTTAAATAATGGACAGTATTCATTCCAGTAGGTAAATATTCCGATAAAGTCAAACACATACTTTAGGTCAGTTTCATACAATTTGGATAAAAAGCATGTTAGTCTGATTAAAAATTGAGCCATGGAGTCAGTATTTGATTTAATTGCACTAATCATTTGTTCATTTACACTAATAGAAGCTACATTCAAGATTTCAAAAGCATTTTGATAGAAAATTAGATAAAGTGAATTCCGGTCAGAGAAAGGCAAGTATTGGACATACATTAAGCATTAATGAAAATTGACAGTAGATAAAGGCAGCAGAGAGCAAGAATGAAGGAAATTGACGAGAAGAGGTAGATTTGGTCTTCATCAATAGATAGTGATTCAATTATTGTAATTGGGTTGAGTTAGAATACCATTCTAAATGAAAACAAAGCACTTTCATTGCTGCATTTGTGTTTTCACAGTTTGGTTAGCTGTAATGATGATTTTTTTTTATTTTTTTTTACATTTTTGTATTTTTGATAAACAACTGTTAGGCTAGCACTGGCACTTACAGACTAAAATAGAATTATTAAAGGGAATATAACTGGATGGGTATTTAAAATATGGGTAATTATAGCAGGGGTCCGATATGCAGATAAAATAGAACTGGTTTGATGTTTACAAAAATAATACAATTAAACAATATACCGTAAGCACATTTTTAGATACTCTGATAGTTTGCTATTATTGCTTTCTGTTTTTATATTTTAGGATGTTTTTTCAAAAGGAAAGATTTATCTGACTGCAATAACAAAATTGGATATAATGGGTGAAAACAAATTTGAAATAGTCACATCACAAAGAACATTTGTTTTTCGAGTGGAAAAAGATGGTACGTACCTTGAAAAATACAGTTGGAAAGAAAATCTAAAAGTTTGAAAGATGTATGTATAACCATGATGGCTACTTCTTTGACTATGAAACAAACAAACAAAAGAACATAAACCCCATGACCTTCTTGTATAGGTTATGGTACAAGTAGATACACAGTCCCGGTCTCCCTTGTCCAAGTTTCTTCGAATCACTGCAACTATATGCCCACACCCATACTCGAATATATATCACAGGGAAAGTGATGCGTTCCCCAACCTATTTACAGAATTTTAGTGTTTACTTGCTGCACAGGTGCACACTTTGCAAGTTCACTTTCTGTGCTTTGATATTCCACAGGTTCTGTCACCTTTGTAGCTCTACTCATAAAGCTTCTATGATAGAAGATAAAACCAACTATAATTATGTTGTGGAATGCAGCTATATTCACATCACAAAATCCAATTTTTGGGCCATTACTTTCCATGCCAAGTCTTTGATAATGTAGTCTTTTTTTCAGCATACATTAAAACTGCAAAACTTGAGCCAAAATCGCTGCATTTAAAAAACAAAAATAAGCTCTAAATGTGTTATATTTCCATCATGACTGCTTTGACAAAATATTGCAATTCCCTTGTCAAATCACCACGTTGTTTATTGACCTCCAATTTTCTGAATACCTTCATTTTAATATCCTCCAAAAACCAGTGTAAACCGTATTCAAATTTGTATTCATATATCTGTTTAAATTTATTTGTTTGTTTTCACCATTTAGGAGACAGGTGGAATTGGATCAGCACAATGCAAAATGCCTTAAAATCGAAACAAAAAAAACATCCTTCTCTTAACCTCAGTGAAAAAAATGGATACCTTGAGTTAAAAGGCTATAAAAACAAAATTTTTACTTTGCTGAGTGAAAGCAAATTATGGATCAGTAAAAGCAAACAGGTATGTTTAAACACCATAATTATTGTACTAGGAGAATCAAGCAAAGCAAAATGTTTCTAAAATTAAATATTGTTATTTGTTCACAAAGTGCTGACATTCTTTTCTAGAAGGAAGAAAAGTAACCATTCAAAAGGTTTGTTTTAGAACACGCTGTGTTAAATGGAATTTTGTGGCTGAGTTATTTTGCGGTGTGGAATAATTTACATGGTAAATCCACTTTAACATTCTAGATGTTTAACTTACTTTATTAAAATAAATGCATGAAAGTCATGTACGCTTTAAGTACATTTCCCTGACCTTATGTATAAGTACCCCAAAGGCTACTGTGGACAGAGTATGCTTCAGTACCATGTTTATTTTATAAGGAAAATGCTGAGAACAGCTAAATGAATAATTGGCAAATGAATGTAAGAATTTAAGTGAAGAGGACTCTGTAAGTTCTGATTTTCTTCCATGTAAATATGCATGTGTATGTGAGTAGTCAGCTCAGAGAAACACTTAAATGCAAATATTGCCAACACATTCTGGCATTTTACACACAAATGGATACTGACATACATACTAGTACACACAATAACAACAACATACACACGTTGACACTGGGCATTCAGGGACATTAGCAAGCACACATGCTGACATTACACACAGTTGAACATTGTCATTCAGGCATACTGACAACGTACATACAAACACTCTCAAACCCACAGACCCATATTGCATACCTACAGAAACGCTAACACATGTACTCACTGTTCAAACTTTCAAAGGAATACTGACATTCATTCTAACATGTCAAACACAGGAACAGTGACAAACGCGCATACTGATATTACGTACATGCAGGTATAATCACAAACATTACAAATTGACATTGCGCATACACAAACAGGAATACCAGCATACAAACATACCAATTATGCCCACACAGAAGCAATGACAAATATATACAGGATTTATACACACACACAAATCAGCCACAACATTAAAACAACCTGCCTAATATCATATAGGTACCCCGCATGTTGCCAAAACAGCTTTGATGCATTGAGTCAGGGACTCCACCAGACTTCTGAACATGTCCTGTGGTATCTGGCACTTAGACATTTGCAGCATTTCCTTTAAGTCCCGAAAGTTGTGAAGTGGGGTCTTCATAGGTCGGATTTGTTATGTAAAAATAGGCTGAAAAGAGACATGTGTTTATCTAGTTCAGCCTTTCCAACAGATACTCAATCAGATTGAGATCTGGGAAATTTGGAAGTCAAGCTAACATCTTGTTCCTCAAGCAATTCCTAAACAATTTTTGCAGTGTAGCAGGGTACATTATTCTGCTGAAAGAGGCCACTTCCTTCAAGAAGCACTATTGCCATGAAAGTGTGTACGTGGTTTACAACATTCTACATGTAGGTGGTATGTGTCAAAGTAACATCCACATGAAGACCAGAACCCAAGGTTTATCAGAAGAACATTGTCCAGAGTTTACCACTGTCTCTGCCAGCTTGCCTACTTTCCATAGGTCATCCTGCTACCATCTCGCACATGTACTTGGCCAGGGGTAGATGACCTTTGACACTCCCGATGTTGTGGACTACATCTCCCACAATGTACATCCCTCACAGCAATATTACTGGCAAAGCATCAGAGGAGATGTAGTCTGCAACATATGGAATGCTGAACATTGCCTAGCGTAGCACTTGATTCATCAGATCAGGCAACCTTCTTCCATTGCTCAAGGGTCCATTCATGACATGTTCAGTGGTGGACAGGGATCATCATAGGTATTCTGACCAGTCTGTGGGTGCACAGGCACATACACATTAAACTGCTTTGACATCTTTCTATCATAGCCATAATTAAGTTCTTCAGCAATTAGAGCTACAGTAGCACTCCTGCATGATAGGATCAGACTGGCTAACCTTCTCTCCTCACGTGTATCAATGAGCCTTGGATGCCCATGACTTTGACGCCAGTTCACCAGTTGTCCTTTTTTGCACCACTTTTGGTAGGTACTAACCACTACATAGTGGGAACATACTCTGTTTCAGTTGTCTAGTCCTCACTTTTTGGCCTTGCTCAAAGTCACTCAGATCTTTTTGCTTGCCCATTTTTCCTGCTTCCAACATCGCTGTATTTAGCGCAAGGCTTTCAGTGAGGCGGCAAAAAAAGCCATACCCCAAACGCCCTGGCAAATGCCTTGTCAGCTTCTTGCCCTGGGGGACCAAAGAGCTGGCTGGCTGGCCCCTTCAGTGCCCTCCGAGGCTGGCATCTCCTGATGTAGGCAGGCGGTGAGGGATCACTGCAGTGATGCCGGAGCCGGAATATGATGTTACTCTGGTATCGCTGAGAGGTGCGCGTGGGAGCTGAGCTCCCTCATTGCCCGCCTGAACTCTGCTACGGTCTCCCTGACCACCTCCAGCCCAGCCAGCAGCAGCCCCACTGGACCACAGGGAAAAATCCAAAATGTAAGCAAAAATTTTTTTAGAAGTGTGTTGGTGTGTGTTTGTTAATGTGTGTTAGTATGTCTGTTAGTAAGTGTGTGTGCCTGCCTGTTAGTGAGTGTTAGTGTGTATCTGTTTGTTAATGTGTGTCTGTTAGAGTGTGTGTCTGTTAGTGAGTGTCTGTGTGTCTGTTAGTGAGTGTGTGTGTGTCTATCACTGAGAGTGTATATGTGTTTGTCAGTGAGTGTGTATGTATGTGTGTCTATCAGTTTGTATGCGTGTGTCAGTGTGTGTATTCGTGTCTGTCACTGAGAGTGTGTGTCTATCATTGAATGTGTGCGTCTGACACTGAGTGTATACATACCTGTCAGTGAGTGTGTGTGTTTGGCGCTGTGTATCTGTCAGTTAGTATGTGTGTCGCAGTCTGTGTGTGTGACACTGAGTGACTGTGCATCTGTCAGTGAGTATGCATGTGTGTCTGTCAGTGTATATGTGTGTAACGGATCGCCTGGTACCCCGACTGGGTACCTCCATTGAAGGATGCTCCTAGCGCTTCCTGAGGACTCCAAGCACTCTGGCAGACACCACAATCACCAAACCAGAGAAGCAAATAAATTCTCCCAAGCATATGAATGCTGTAGACAGTTGAATAGGAACCATACAAATAGGTTTACTCTCCTAGCAGTCAAACTGGAAACGCATACAATAAATCCTTCCCCCAATAATGAGACGACACTTCACTTTGAGGGTTAGAACAGAAACTCCTGTGCTGGCACACCCAGCCTGGTTTTTATTACAGTCTTTCACATACAGGACCGCCCACAGGGAGGTATAAAACAACCACTCACATATCCGTTACATCCCACATATTCCCTCCCCTTATCCTGAGAGGAAACTCAATTACACATACAGTTAAAACATACTTTCTACCCAACTTTCATAACTTTAAAACCATACATCACATTCACATAAAATTACATATTCACAATCAATCCATTCAGGGGAACAACATATTAAAAAATGGCATGAATCCGACCAGGGGTTCAAAAGTTAGTAAAAGTATCTTTTGGGCCCTGGCTGGCACATGGATATCTGGCTCAAACAGGTTTTACAGAGCCCTCTATCCTGGAGACAATGGGGGAAAGTAATCCAATTATCCAGGGATAGAGGCAGACTCCATTGAGCACATGGTTGCAAAAAGGAGACCGTATCTTCAGAAGGATATTGATACCTTAGAGACCGTATCTTCAGAAGGATATTGATACCTTAGAGAGGGTTCAGAGAAGGGCTATTAAACTGGTTCATGGATTGCGGGATAAAACTTACCAGGAAAGGTTAAAGGATCTTAACATGTATAGCTTGGAGGAAAGACGAGACAGGGGGGATATGATAGAAACATTTAAATATATAAAGGGAATCAACACAGTAAAGGAGGAGACTATATTTAAAAGAAGAAAAACTACCACAACAAGAGGACATAGTCTTAAATTAGAGGGACAAAGGTTTAAAAATAATATCAGGAAGTATTACTTTACTGAGAGGGTAGTGGATGCATGGAATAGCCTTCCAGCTGAAGTGGTAGAGGTTAACACAGTAAAGGAGTTTAAGCATGCGTGGGATAGGCATAAGGCTATCCTAACTATAAGATAAGGCTAGGGACTAATGAAAGTATTTAGAAAATTGGGCAGACTAGATGGGCCGAATGGTTCTTATCTGCTGTCACATTCTATGTTTCTATGTTTCTATGTTTCTATGTTTCTAAGACATAAAACACTTTAAAATACATAAAGTCACCTTTTACACATAACACACAGACATTTCACATATCCCCAGATAGCTGGGATCTGAGCGCACAAAACTACCGAATAGCGCTCAGATCCTATTCACACAGTTCAATTGCCATGGAGCCGAAGTCTTTAACTACACGAATGGGCTCCATGGCATAGCTATCTGGGTTAACACATTCACATAAAGTCTGGTCCATAGTCCAAAGGCAAGAGGCGGGCAAGCAGCCCCCTCCAAGGACACGTGTTTGTCGGTGAATGTAAATGTTTGTGTAACTGTGAATGAGTGAGTGTGTATGCCTGTGAATGTATATGTTTCAGTGAAAGTGTGTGTTGGTTAAACAGTATGTGTAACAATGACTGTGTATCTGTAAATGAGTGTATGTCAGTGCATGCATCAGTGAGTGCATGTGTCTGTCAGGATGAGAAATTTGGAAAGAGGGGGGGGGGGTTTGCCTGAGTTTTGTCATGCCTAGGGCAGCACAAACACCAGAATACACCACTGGCTTACAACACATTAAATTCAAGAGCTGTTTACTTGTTGCCTAATGTATCCCATCACATGACATGTGCCACTGTAACAATATAATCAATGTTATTCACTTCACCTGTCAGTAGTTCTAATATTGTGGCTGTTCAGTGTATATCAGTGTATAAACAGACACATAAGAAACTGATATATATTCAAATACAGACATTGCACATTATAGTTACATAGCTGAAAAGAGACTTGCGTCCATCATGTTCAGCCTTCCTCACAAATGATTTTGCTGTTGATCCTAAAGAAGGCCAAAAAGCTATTACCCCCTAATTAGAAATTATATCAATGTATGTTATGTTTTTGCAAGTATTTATCCAATTGCAGTTTAAAAATCTGTATGGACTCTGATAAAACCACCTCTTCAGGCAGAGAATTCCATATCCTTATTGCTCTTACTGTAAAAAAAAAAAAACCTTTTCTTTGCCTTAGATGAAATCTCTTTAATTCCAGCCTAAATGTGTGACCTTGTGTCCTATGTATAGCCCTGTTTATGAATAGATTTCCAAATAAAGGTTTGTACTAGTCCCGAATATATTTGTATAATGTTATCATATCCCCTCTCAGGCGTCGTTTTTCCAAACTAAAAAGATTAATTTTTTTAACCTTTCTTCGTAACTAAAATGCTCCATTCCTTTTATCAATTTTGTAGCTCGTCTCTGCTCTTTTTCTGGTACCATGATATCTTTCTTTAGAATAGGTGCCCAAAATTACACAGCATATTCAAGGTATGGTCTTACCAGTGATTTATAAAGAGGCAAAATTATATTTTCAACTCGAGAATTTATGCCCCTATTTATACATGACAAATCCTTACTGACCTTAGCAACTGCAGATTGACATTGCACATTGCTGCCTAATTTGTTTTCTATAACAATTCCCAAATCCGTCTTGTGTGTGGTTATCCCTAGTTCACTACCATTTAGGGTGTAAATTGCTTGTGCATTCTTAACCTCGAAGTGCATAGCTTTGCATTTGTCTACATTAAATTATGTAGTAACACTGAAACCCTGAAACTCGAATACACATTAATAGCACACATAAACACAGCAAGATTGCAAATGAAGAACCATTTACAAACAGTCAACATAGTTCAGCAAGCAAACCATGACATGTACTGATTTTTACAAACTATATTTTATTTATTCAATTAACATTTATTAAATTACTGTCACACTAGGAAACTTTTAAAGGATTTGTCTGTGAGAGAATATTTTATTTCACAAATGGCTTTTACAATTAAATTATGAAAACTAAATTTTAGATAGTGTACCTGAAGCTCAAAAGAGAGCCTGTTGTGTGTGATGTCATTTCTGTCACCCCCTCTTAAATGTCAGCGTTTCTCCAGTAAACATGGAGACATTAAATATAAAGGGAATTAATTGCAAAATGCAGCAATTTTAAATGTGAGTATTTTGTGTTTTTTTATTATTTTAGATAAATTGTTTTTGCACATTTTAAATGCATTATCTGTGCATAGTGATGTCCCGAACAGTTCGCCGTAGACTCATTATTGAGTAAACTTTGACCCTGTACCTCACAGTCAGCAGACACATTCCAGCCAATCAGCAGCAGACCCTCCCTCCCAGACCCTCCCACCTCCTGGACAGCATCCATTTTGAAGCTGCATTCTTAGTGAGCTGTCCAGGAGGTGGGAGGGTCTGGAAGGGGGGGTCTGCTGCTGATTGGATGGAATGTGTCTGCTGACTGTGAGGTACAGGGTCAAAGTTTACTCAATGATGAGTCCGCGGCGAACCGTTCGCGAACCGTTTGGCAAACTGTTCGGGACATCACTATCTGTGCAATGTTTTAGGTAAAGGATGGGTCTGTATCAGTCTGGAGTGCTCTTTTTAAACCTCATAATTTGCTGAGCTGTGCTGTAGTCCAGTGGTTCTCCAAGCCATGGCCCACTAACAGTCCAGGATTTATGTATTTCCCTGTTTTATTCCAATAGAGATACTAACAAAACCTGGATTGTTGGTGGGTCTTAGACTGGTTTGGGAAACTCTGCTGTAGTCTGTAGTAAAAAGACTATTAACTCAACCCATGCACACTATTTTTTTTTTAAAACGTGACTTTTTAAGTTGAAACAGCTGACTTCAACAGAGACCTAATTGTTGTCACCCAAGTTTCTTTGAAAATACAAGTAGGAAATTTAAGATGAGGGGCTAGACAATGGATATTAACCCATTAGCTGCTGAAGGTGTAACTTCACCTCCAGCCATGTCATTGCTGTGTCACATAGAATGTCAGTCATTACTGGTCAGCTGATGTTTTCAGCTTATGAATGACGAAGACTGTGCCCTGCAAAAGAAGTGCGTCATTGGACCATCAAGGAGCATCAGAGCCAAGCAGGACCCACATAAGGGAGCGTACCATTGCTAAATGGTTTGCCACATTACTGGGCAATTGGGCCAGGGTATTCCTGTCATCATAACCACTACAGCGGGCTGTGGATAGGATGACTTGAGTAAACCATTACATGTAGACTAGCATACCATACAGTATTTATAATATCCTTGAGATGAGTGCTAAATATGGGCTTCCTATCACTCATTTTTATAATTTTACCCTTTCCTGTCATAAAAAGCAAGCTTTTACACCAGTCATTTAGCATTTAGACCCACCTGCATCAACATGGAATAACTACTAACTAGGAGGGAGATCAAAGTAATGTATTGCTGGGGTGACAAGTCATGTTGGATTAATAGTTTTTCTTTTAAATAATTTATTGTATGTTACAGTTTAGCCTAGTATACCGCAGCAACGTCTGTTAATTTAGTTTATGCTCTTCTTGTAAGGAACATTATTCCGTGTTAAAATCACTCAATGCCTTTCTAATGTACAACTTATAGATCATTTTCCTATGCATATAGACATTCCTTTTACCCATTTAGTCAGTCATAAAACTGCACTTTATAATTTCTCACTGGCTACTAAATTGGGCCAATTTCATGATAGTTTTTTATTGGCAAGAGATTGTGGTCATAATGTATAAGAGATTAAAACAGTGGTCTAGCTATAAAAAAGCCAGTGACAAAACTCATATGATTGATATATTTACTGTTTTTCACCATCCATCAATAAAATAAGAAAATTATTCAATAGTAAACCATAATTTTATATATACTATATTTTAAGTTTTGATTTTTCTGCTTCACGAAAAAGGATACTTTATTACATAATAGAATGTGTCATTATAATTACATAGCTGAAAAGGGACATGCGTCCATCAAGTTCAGCCTTTCTCACATTTTTTTTTGCTGTTTTTCCAAAAAAAGGCCAAAATCCCAGTTTAATGTGCTTTCAAATTTGCATCAGTTTAAGTTTGGACTAGAAGGTATATGATATTGAGTTTGGAATGCGAGTCCGTGCCTCTATGTTCTGTGAATTCCCTTAGGAACGCTTTAAAACGCTTTAAAACCTTAAACAATTTTATCTCTTGCTCTGTAAATTGATCTTTAATCACACACAGGAGGCTCTTGCAGGGTCTAGCAAGCTATCAACATAACAGGGGATAAGAAAAATCTAAATTAAACAAAACTTGCAATAAAGAAAGTATAAACTTTAGATTACTCTTTACAGGAGTGTTCAGGACTCTGCAAGTCACATGCAGTAAGGTGTGACTAGGGTCCATAAACAAAGCGATTTTACTCCTAAAGGGCAGAGAATTGAGCAGTGAGGCTGCAGGGGCATGTTCTATACTCCAAAACTGCTTCATTAAGCTAAAGTTGTTTTGGTGACTATAGTGTCCCTTTAATATCTAACATAAAAAAACGAGCTTAAGCACCTGTCAGTCAGCATAAGGTCTTCCACACAACCTGCATCAAATTTATTCATGAGATAACTATTAACATGAAGGAGATCAAAGTAATGTATTGTTGGAGCAGACAAGTAATATTGGATTAATACTTTATCATTTGAATAATTTATTGTATTTTGCAGTTTAGCCATTACGAGTATTTCCCCACCAGGTCCATGTTACTTAATTCTATCATTTTTTTTAAATTACATTATTCAGTATTAATCTCCCTTGTTGCCTTTCTAATGTGCAACATATAGATCATTTTCCTATTCCCATAGACATTTCTATTACATGTGCTTTTTATGCAGTCAGTCATAAAAATGTACTTTATAATTTCTCACTGACACCTAAATTGTGTCAAGTTGATGACACTTTTATTGGCAAGAGATTGTAGCCATAATGTATTATAGATATAAACTGTGGTCTAGCTATAAAACAGCCAGTGCTAAAGCTCATATGGTTTATCTATTTACTATTTTTTGACGTCAGTCAATAAAATAACAAAATAATATATATCAATCAATAGTTAGTTTAATATAAAATATTTTATGTTTTGATTTCCTGCTTAATGAAAAAAAGATATTCCAATAGGATGTGTCATCAGTTTGACTTTGTCAAAGAAGTCTGGGCAAACAATAACTCGGAAGATAGCATTTTTTTGGGATCAAAGTGCAAATCAGTGATGTTTCGACTTCGCAATGCAAAGCAAAGACCTCATTGCAAGGTCGAAAGGACATGATACCAAAAAAAAAAAAAAAAAAATACTATATTCTGAGCTATTGTGTGCCTGGACTTCTTTGGAATACTGTGATTAAAGGAGGTTGTGCTGTCTCCTGTTCATTCCACACCAGTTGTGACTCTGCTGTAGGTATGCGGTTCCTATATATATATATGTGTGTTAAGGGCTCATGATAGTACAGAAGAATCAAACACTGATAAGTGTAGGATGGTATTAAAAGAGCAAGTCGGTTGTGGTGTGTCGGAACCGACGATGAGGTAGGTCTGTAAATAAAGAGGGCCCACCAAGAAGAAATGTAAAGAAAAGGGAGTTAATAATGAGTGGTGGGAGGGTGATGCAGCGCTGACCTCGAACGGTATGGAGCCAGGTAAGGGGTGTCCCTTAAGTAGGGAAGTGGTGTGTCATACGCCCCTCCCACAATTACAGGCCAAAAGGCCTTAATACACATATATATATATATATGTATGTATGTGAGTTTGGACTAGAAGGTATATGATATTGGATCTGGAGTGAACCTCTGTACTCAGTAGGTTCCTCTTAGGAATGTTACAACTTCATTACATAAAGCTGGCAGTAATTTATAAGGATGGAAGTAAAAGTCTGACTTTATCTTGCAGGAAAAAAAGTCTACACATTTTTAGATCTTGACATGGAACCTTAAGTTCAAGAATGTGCAATGGGGTCCCCAAACTCATGCCTCATAATATACCCTAATGCTAGGTCCTCGTCACAGAGTCTTCCTCTTGTCATTCCTATGCAGTGACACATATACATAGCAATAATGCTACCTAGTGCTAGATTACCTCTTTCCAGAAATCTGCTGTGTCAAGGGGAATGATAGTGTCTACTGACACAAATAATAATCAAACTTTACCTTTTATTCTTTGATTCATAAATAAAATTTCAACCCCAATCTGCTACACCGATGTCCTTAAACTAAGTGATAATAGTAGATGTGGTGGAACACACTTATTGTAAATAAAACAAACAAACAAAACAGTATTACAGAATGGTGATTTGCAGCCTGTTTCTACCTTAAAAAGTGTTCTTGGAAGGTCTTGTGAGTGCTGTAGGAACGCCTAAACTGTGCACAGATTGTGTAGGTGCTAGTACAGTTTATTCTAATGGATTCCATGACAGCAGTGGTTCTCAAACCAGTTCTCATGGCCCACCAACAATCACAAAAATAAATAAAACTTTCTGACAGAAAATTCCTTAGAAATTCACTAGGTATTAACTTGAGAACAGTTAGATTACCAATCAATAAACAGTTTGAGAACTGACTTTTTCAGAAAAATTAAAACACAAGTTCCAACCTACAGTTTGTCAATTTAGCAACATTCTTCCATATCATGTTTAATACGATCAAATTATTTAACTAGTTCTAAAGTTAATGTGTCATCACAGCTTCTAAAAATAGAATGAACACAAAAATGGTGAACTTGGGACAGGTGAACTCTTCTGATCTGTATTAAGATGAAATCATTCTGCACAAATTGTTTATCTCTTCATCTACAGTTGCAAGAAAAAGTATGTGAACCCTTTGGAATGATATGGATTTCTGCACAAATTCGTCATAAAATGTGATCTGATCATCATCTAAGTCACAACAATAGACAATCACAGTCTGCTTAAACTAATAACACACAAAGAATGAAATGTTGCCATGTTTTTATTGAACACACCATGTAAACTGTTACGGTACCCTCAGCATGAAATGCACAAACCGCCGTTTAGTTAATGCTCCCCGTTCGCAATAACCCAGGCTGCATGTGTATCCAGTATAATCATACGAACCGCAAGCAAGGGAACGCTGTAAACTCACGAACGGGGTCCGTACGGACACTTCACTTCACGAGCTCCAAACTCACAAATCGCTAATAGCAGCCGAACTCAGGTATCTCCCAAGCGGCTAATAATTCCATCCAGCAGTCTCTAGTTGTCGGTAATAAATCCCCCCAATAACGAGACCAAGCTCCGCATTGAGGGTAAAACATGAACTGGCTTTACTTTGGGCTACCTGGCCGTATTTATGCAGGTCTCCCACTTGATGGACACTCCCCTAGGGGACCAAATGGGAGACTGTGACAACAGATAGACATATGGCAGTTCAGGACCCACAGACACAGAATATTCCCAGCATGCAATAGTAATTCCTCCCCTCTGCCCTGGAGAGAATTGAGAAGTAATTCAATTATCTCCAGGACAGAGGCAAATCGCCATTTTACATTCAACACATAAAAACACATAAAAATATATAACTTTACATTTGTCGAATGCTACCCATTCATATCACATATCCCCAGATAGCCTGGATCTGAGTGCATATTATTGGTGAATAGTGCTCAGATCCCATACGCATAGTTCAATCGCCATGGAGTCATAGTCTAGTACAGTTCTTCGGTATGCGATTGACTCCATGGGAAGGCTATCTGGGGTAAGTCCATTCGTGCCTTTAAACCTCCTGAACGGCCGGTGTTCGCACACTTCTGTCGATTGAGAAGGGAGGTCGGCGGCTTCAGCGGTGTTTGGTTGAAAAAGTGTCCGTTTTCAGTTCCATGAAATAAATGTTGAACACCGCTGGTCTTCCGCATGGTTTAAAATGGCCGCCGCCTCGTGGTCGACATACGAACGACGACCACCCTGTATTCGGTTTTAATTGAGAAGTGTCTGTGGTTAACCGCAACGTTCTAATTGGGATCAATAGGTTAACCAGCAGCACATTTCTCTTCTGGGTGGCCGTCCATTCGGCAGTTCCGTTCGGCAGAAAAGTCCATTCACTTAAACAAGGCATACGAACGGGTAAATTCATGAAAAAGGCAAAACAGACGAATCCAGCAATCTTAGTCCATACATGGATCTGTCACATAAACATTCACAGTGCAGGTGGAAAAAGTATGTGAACCCCTAGACTAATGACATCTCCAAGAGCTAATTGTAGTGAGATGTCAGCCAACTGGAGTCCAATCAATGAGATGAGATTGGAGGTGTTGGTTACAGCTGCCCTGCCCTATAAAAAACACACACCAGTTCTGGGTTTGCTTTTCACAAGAAGCATTGCCTGATGTGAATGATGCCTCTCAGAAAAGAGCTCTCAGAAGACCTACGATTAAGAATTGTTGATTTGCATAAAGCTGGAAAGGGTTATAAAAGTATCTCCAAAAGCCTTGCTGTTCATCAGTCCACGGTAAGACAAATTGTCTATAAATGGAGAAAGTTCAGCCCTGCTGCTACTCTCCCTAGGAGTGGCCGTCCTGTAAAGATGACTGCAAGAGCACAGCGTAGACTGCTCAATGAGGTGAAGAAGAATCCTTGAGTGTCCGCTAAAGACTTACAAAAATCACTGGCAAATGCTAACATCCCTGTTAGCGAATCTACAATACGTAAAACACTAAACAAGAATGGATTTCATGGGAGGATACCATAGAGGGAGCCACTGCTGTCCAAACAAAAAATTGCTGCACATTTACAGTTTGCACAAGAGCACCTGGATGTTCCACAGCAGTACTCACAAAATATTCTGTGGACAGATAAATCCAAAGTTGAGTTGTTTGGAAGAAACACACAACACTATGGACGGATTGCTATCATCGAAGGAAAAATGAATTCCCAAGTTTATCAAGACATTTTGCAGGAGAACAATCTACCAGCTGAAGCTCAACAGATGATGGCTGTTGCAACAGGACAAAGACCCAAAGCATAGAAGTAAATCAACAACAGAATGGCTTAAACAGAAGAAAATACACCTTCTGGAGTGGCCCAGTCAGAGTCCTGACCTCAACCCGATTGAGATGCTGTGGCATGACCTCAAGAAAGTGATTCACACCAAACATCCCAAGAATATTGCTAAACTGAAACAGTTCTGTAAAGAGGAATGGTCAAGAATTACTCCTGACCGTTGTGCACATCTGATCTGCAACTACAGGAAACGTTTGGTTGAAGTTATTGCTGCCAAAGGAGGTTCAACCAGTTATTCATTCCAAGGGTTCACATACTTTTTTCACCTGCACTGTGAATGTTTACATGGTGTGTTCAATAAAAACATGGCAACATTTCATTCTTTGTGTGTTATTAGTTTAAGCAGACTGTGATTGTCTATTGTTGTTACTTAGATGATGATCAGATCACATTTTATGACCAATTTGTGAGGAAATCCATATCATTCCAAAGGGTTCACATACTTTTTCTTGCAACTGTATAGAAACATAGAAACATAGAATGTGATGGCAGATAAGAACCATTCGGCCCATCTAGTCTGCCCAATTTTCTAAAATGTATAGCATTTTAAAATGTACAAATGTCCATCTTTAATTATCATGTACTTGATAATCACAATGGAATTTTACAATAATATCAATCTCTATAAATATATAGGTGCCTAAAATAATAAAAACTGAAATTCTGCAAAAGTGACAATGGTAATATTAAATTTAATCTGACCATTTCATCTTTTAGTTTTCAAAATGTATCTCAACTTTTAAAAACCTATAGATGTTTATGGTAACAAATCGTCATTTCTTTTTTTTTTGTGATTACATACTACATTACATTAAAACAAGGCAATGACAAAAAAAGCATATCTCGTATATTATGGTAAAATGTGATTTTAAATGAATCAATCAAATGCTGCAATAAGGTATCATTGACACTAGAGGGCAATGTTGACTCATACAGGAATTCAACACAGCAAAAGCATGTAATAACACAAAAAATCACAAAGGGATGAGCTAATACTCTTCTTATATTGGCACTCACATCCATGCTAGAACTACTCCCATTGTGATTTATAGAGCTTTATTATGACTGCAGTGCTAAAACTTACCTAGTGTTAAAATAAGAACACATCACACTGAATTCTATTAACTCGACTGAAGAAAAAAAACTGTGATTCCATATATTGTGCTTTGTTACGATTTTCTCAACCAGCTCTCATGAAATCTAATTCCCTGCACAGTATTTTCATATATGTGTAACCCCTGTAAATCAGGCATATGACACAATTATCAATTGATCAGGTAAATTAATAATGTATTTAATGAGATTTCATTGCAGTAAAACATGCTGGCATGATTTTCTAATTGTATGATAAAGAATCGTTTACTGGAATCATTAATACTCTATCTTACCCTTGAAAGATATAATTATTTATATTCCCTCCCTTAGAACAGAGCTTTGTTACTGAAGTGCTTAAGCTAAATATTTTAAAGAACTCTGTTTGCATATTTGGAAGTGTTTAACCCTTAATATCTTTTACCTCGTTTCCACTGAGCGGTACGGTTCGAGACGGTACTGTTCGGAGGGGTTAGAATCATTCAAGCCTATTCAGGTGAGCATTTCCGCTGCAAGTCGGACCGCCAGGGGGGTTTGCAGGGTTTAGACCAAATGCCTAGCGTGGCGTCATACTAGTGCGACGACAAGAAACGTGACGCTACAAAGAACAACAATGTAGGTCATCCAGCAGCTCATCTTTGCTCTGCTTGGCTTTTGGTTCTTTGTAGTTACAATACATGCCGCAATGTATTAGAGAAGGTTGTGAACGTCGAAGAAAAACACAGTCGAAAAGAGAAGAAAACATCTGGCTTGGGTCATAAGCCGGGAAGAGAAGTACACCTTTGTGCGGCAAAGACAAAGACTGCAGCGCTACAGGGTAAGAAACTTTATGCCATGCGTTATCATATTTGTCATGTAGTTCTACTCATGTGTTAACTAACTTAAATATTAAAAAATAAAAAAATACAGAGTATGAAAAAATTTATTATAAGACGGGAAGGATATACATGATGTATTTAACATACATTTTGCACATGTATGTTAAATTGTACATTTCAAGTATTACACCTAACATAAACACTCCTTATCTATGTTGCTCGCTTTAATACATGATGCTATTTGTCTGTGTAAAATGTATTGTGTTGTATTATATTTGACTTCATAGTTATATAGTGAATTAAGTTATCTGTATGATCTGTGTTTTGTTCTTTTTTAGATGCTTCTCCTTTTGTTAAAGCAGTTCCGCCGACCAGTCATTTGGGATCTCCGCCGCGCCATTGAGTGGTGGGATGTGACTGTCCCGGGCTTCACACACACACAATGGGTGCACAATTTACGAATGTCATAGAAAACATTTTCATACATTTGTGCAAGGCTACGTCCAGCAAGGGAGACGCAAAGCACCAACTTCAGAGCCAGTTTGCCTGTGAGGAAAAGAGTTGACATTGCACTGTGGAAGCTGGTTACCAACAGTGAATACAGAAGTATCAGTCATCTTTTTGGTGTCAGTAAATCATCAGTGTGCCAGTGTGTGTAGGACTTCTGTAAGGCTGTCTGCACATTGTTAGTTCATGAAAGTATTCATTTTCCAGACCAGGAAAAGCTTAAAGACATGGCTGACTACTTTGAGAACAGGTGGGGCCTTCCTCAGTGTGTGGGTGCTATTGGTTATACGATTGTCCACATTTTGGAAATTGGTTGGGCAGGGAGGCCTGTACCCTGATTGCACTAAGAACATTGGGGGGTGGGGTGAATATTGGCTATTATGTGCTGGGGGACTCTGTCTACCCTTTACAGAACCGGCTGCTGAAACCATTTCCTGACAATGGCTGTCTGACACCAGAACAACAAACCTACAACAAGAAAACATCCAGGGCACAGGTCATAGTTGAAAATGCATTTGGGAGACTTAAGAGTAGGTAGAGCTGTCTTATGAAGAGGAATAACAGTGATATTGAACTTGTCAAATCCATGGTGCTTATTTGCTGTTCTCTTCACAATCTTTGTGAAAGTCACGGAGAAGACTTCCACCAGGAATGGGATATGTCTGCAGAAGAGCCAGTTCAGGTAATAGCACGGGGTAGCGAAGAAGAAGACAGTGAAGTACGTCAGGCTCTTGATGCGGCACCTCAACATTTAATTTTATCATTTGCATTTAATCTGACACACCCACAGCCTCTTCAAATTTTTATTCACAAAAAATTTTTTTTCAAAATAAAATTACAAATAAACAATAAAAATGTTTACAAATAAACAATAACAAGATTAAAAAAAATTAACAAAAAAAAGTGTTGGGCTGGCTGAAAGGCACTACTGCCTTGGCGGTGACGTGGGATCATGACTGCTTCCCAGAACTTGTACAAGCTGCCAAAGGACACCAAGGAAGGCCTGGTTGAAGGTAGCCAACTGCTCCATCTGCTGCCGGGTGATTTCTGCCTCCTGGTGCATCGCTTCCTGGGCATCCTGACACAGTCCCTGAAACAACCACTCAGAAAGGTTCTTCATTCTTTCCTGCTGCCTTTCATCTGCTGACCACATCTCCTCCATGACTGTGCACACATCCAGCTGCAACCATCTCCGATCACCTGAAATATACAAAAGACCAGAATAGTGGTTTTTAAGCAATGGTACAAAAACTAGGTGGATATATATTTAGCTAACATAATGTAAATAAAGAACAGATATAACACATAATAACCATGTAAACACAAATTAAAATAAAATCAATAAACACAATATATACAAGAGAAGCTCAAAACACAATGAAGAAAATTAAATAGCAGTATATACAGACAATGTACAATTATGATTATGGATTTGATCATGCAAACATAAACTACACAAAGGAATTTTGAGTGATTTCATAGTTTAATGTGAATTAAAAGTTAGGAAAATGCACAATTACAACTTTCACTCTAATCGTCATGTCTTACCAGTGTGTTGATGCCGGGGTGCATTGGACTGAATCTGTGGTTAGGTCAGTGTTGACGCCATCGTACTGGTGCTACTAAATGATGTGGACGGACCATCGTCGGAAAAGGTTGAGACATCATTGGAGAGTCCCTCAACTGTATCTGAAAATGCACAGAGTTTGATACACAAACAACGAGAATAATACACAATGTTAACGTTTAACTATCTTAAATGGCAGTTAGCATGAGCTAGTAAACAATGAGATGCTAACTACCCTACCCTTTCCTTTCATTCCACTTTACAAATAGAAGTGTTGTGTTTAATTCCACTGTTCAAATAAAATGTGTTTTTGTGCAAAGAGCAAATTGTTTGGTGCAGTGATTTTTATAAATGGTTAGCAGAGCTAAAGGCAATGTCAAGTGGAAAAAATACATACCAACAGGCTCCATAATGGATTTGAGAAGTGCAGAAGCCAAGTCCAGACCTCCCTCCCTGCATTTGTTTGCCGGCCTGTGAACGTAAATGACGTCCATGGCATCTTACCTCCTCCAAGTACTTTGACTGTTTTCACTACGGCTGTTGGCATCCTTAATTTTTTTTATATTGGCCTTCTAGCTTCTTAAGCTTTATCCTACACTGAACCAACGTCTGTTCAAATCCCTCGGCTGCCATCCACTGAGAAATATCTTTATACACCGTTTCATTTCTCACTGATCCATCAAACTCACTCTGAATAACGCTACCGACAATTATAGTTTGGAAAGTGGAGCAGTGATTTTGATTTGACGTGAGCAGTGATTTTTTTCTGTCCGCCAATCAATGGAATGTATCGTGTGACACCAGTAGCTCCGCCCTAACCATACCGTACCATTTCTTATGGACCTACAACTGAAGTGGGCCCAGGAATGGTGTGGTTTGGTTCGTTTGTATCGGCCACTTTTATAATGGAAACACTCAAAATAGCATACCAAACCGTACTGACCCGAACCATTCCGCTCAGTGGCTGCTATTTTTTGAAGTAGTCATTTAACACTGGCAGAGTTATTTACAAAACTGGGAATAGGCCTTCAATTTGGAATTCACTATGAATTCACTTTGAATTTCCAACAATTTTCACTTTAGTATCGCAAAACATATACATTATAGGTAACATATAAGTGGTTTGTCCTCTGTTTAATAAAAATGACAATAGGGCTAATACAAAAGCTTCTCTGAGAATATTCATGCTGGTTCCATGAAGTCGGTCTCGTGGTCTCTCAATTCATCACTGTAATGGAATATAGTAGAAGACATAGCACTGGCGTCTACACAATCTGTGCACAAGCGTTCCTACAACCCTGTAGTTATGTCTGCATGTGTAAATAATAATTATTACACTTAATGGGTCTAATAATAAAGCAATAAACTGGTGAAGGTAGAATTAAATGTATATATGTTTTAGACATGGTTGAGTTAATAATAAAATTGGTATTATAAGCATATTTTTACATATATACCTAATATATATGTGTGCAAAGAGGAAGCAAAAATCACATAATGCTTAGCATTGTCATTTGTGTCAATGTTTTTTCCTTTTTAGGGTCAGAAAAATAAGAGAAGTGTTAAGAGAAATAAGTCAGAGAGTTGGTTTTATAACAGATAGTAGAGGATTAGATTCACACAATTAAAAGATGCAAAATGCAAAAGATATCAAGATATATAAAATATGTATTATTATCTAGCTGTAACTGGAGCACTCTCTGATAAAATCCTGCAGGTGCCTCTGATTACTCTGTATGCACACTAACCTCAATCTACATTCTAGGTCTTACAGTGCTTATGGTACCAGGAGCAACCAGATGCTCCCCCAATGTAAGAATTTTAATGGTCTATTGGCCAATGTGCTGGCCCTGCATTGCAGGTCTTAGATCAGAAGATCTAATGGAATCTCTCAGCAGTAGATTCCGACTCTCCAGAGTGGATTAGGAGAGGTGGGAAGCAGTGCTCATCAGACCACAGGTGAAAATTCAAACTGCTCTAAACCAGTTTCACATCTTACATTGATCATGTACTAATAGCAGTGCCGGTACCACAACCACTGCAGTGCATTGAAGAGGTTGTGATGCTTGTGGTTCACCTTTAATGTCTCTGGGCTTGGTATATTTAGTAAGGCTATTTGCCATGTGAGCATAATTCAGTATGCACAATACATTTACTTTAAGTTCACATACAAGGTTTTATCAGCACAATCATTGTGTTTAATCTATTAGAGAGAATCTGAAAACTATCACCAGGTGTATTTTGAGAACCAGTATTAATTCTTAATTAATCTTGGCCACAGAATAGAGTGTGCATTATAATCATGACAAACTAAGCACCGCTTGCAAAATGATTGGATTAAACATTGCAGTGTTTTGCAGAAACAAAATAATGAGGTAGGAGCAATAACATCTGCTGCATCTGCATAAAGTGATGTAATCATTCTTTATTTAATTGCTCTAATAGAACAATTCTAATTGTACAAACTGTATCAGTAACCTAATTAATTTGTCATATGAAAAAAATGGAAAAATATATTCAGCACACAAAGAGAATTAGCAGATAATATATTGTAAATGTAAACACCATTATGAGAGTATAAGAGACAGATAGACATACAGAGAAAGACAGACACAGACAGTGCTGAAGAATAGAATTAAAATAGACTTATTAGGATTTTTTGAAAATGCAAAATGTTAATTGTCGCACAAATATTAGCTAAACAATGGAAAGACTGACGTGTTGGTTGCATAAGCATTCCTTTCTCTGTGTCAGTACTTGGTAAAAACACATCTGGCTGCAATTATAGCACTAATTCTTTTAGAATGTCCCTATAAAATAGATGACGCCTTTTTTTTTCACATTTGTGGGTCCTACAACAAGTAATTTGACAATGCCCAGCTTTCTATATTGTCCAGGTTTTAGATGTTTTTTAAATGGTTTATCCTATCTCAGCTGTGCCTTCATCCTCAGGTGTGATACATTTAAGTATGTCCTTTCAGTAACATAGGCAGGCTCCAGAAGTTCAGGTAAATTAATAGATAGTGATGTCCCGAACGGTTCGCCACGGACTCATCATTCCAGCCAATCAGCAGCAGACCCTCCCTCCCAGACCCTCCCACCTCCTGGACAGCTCACTAAGAATGCATCTTCAAAATGGATGCTGTCCAGGAGGTGGGAGGGTCTGGGAGGGAGGGTCTGCTGCTGATTGGCTGGAATGATGAGTCCGTGGCGAACCATTCGTGGCGAACCATTCGCGAACCGTTCGGGACATCACTATTAATAGACAGTTAATTAGAACAGTTGTCAACTCACTGAATTTAGTGAACAAAGTAATATTTCAATAAACATTACTGATCAGTTTATAGACATGCATTTTAATGTGCTATTGACACTGCCGCAGGCACAGCCTAGATTTATAAAATGTCTTAAAACAGAGACTCCAGACACAAATTGATAAATCAAGTATATCTTAAAAATTGTGCTAATGCATTTTTTTATTATTTTATCTTGATCATTGTTAGAACTACAAGTAGAATTAGACCAGGATATGCCACTTATACAATGCTAAGTTAATGGGGGTTAACTAGGAGTGCCACTTAACCAACATAAGCTTAGAAAGTAAGTTAGCTATTGTGTGCTACATATTTAAATCTTGGTTTGGTAAAACACAAAAACACAAAAATGTACATTTGATTTATAATACATATAATACATAACTAATCAAATGCATAATGTTATTTTTCTAGTAGTTTTTGATTAACAAAAAAAAAACGCCTTACCCCTGCACTCAAATGTTCAAAAAAAAAAGGTTCACTATTCACTATCGAAAACTATTTTTACCAACCGTAGCTCCACCACTGGCTTGTCAATCAAATAGCTAACAATCACACTGTTTTATAACCTGTTCGATGTTTGATTACAGTGTGGTACACACAATATGCTCACAATAAACACATCAATCTTACTATTTGCAGATTGTTTGCTCATATCTGCAATAAGACTCATTTGTAATCATTTTTTTGCTGGCAGCTTAATGCTGTTTACTACAAATATAAGCACAACCTGAGAGATCAAGTGTAGTTGTTGAATTTATAATAAAATAAATAAACTTCCCGAGAAAGAGGTACATGATTGTAATAATTACCAGTGGAATTGGCCACCACATGCTTGTTTTTTTTGCTGATGGGATA